TTGTACACATTACATTCTATTATTACCTTTTGTTGATTTAAAACAGTTTCGATAAATAGATAGTTAAATGCGGCAGCCTCGTTCCCTAGACTTTACCGACATGAAAAATATTAGATTATCCACTTAATGATAAATGTACACGTGATACTGGGAAGGCTACACATGATACTTTTCATGACGAAGGAACATGTTTTTCGCCGTCTGGGTCAGTGGCATCTGTGTGTGTGGTACTCCTACATGGTGACCCTACAGTAGAGGCAGCAACAAGAGGTGCTGGTGGAAGGTGTACCACATATGAGGCAGGGAGCCTACAGTAGAGGCAGCAACAAGAGGTGCTGGTGGAAGGTGTACCACATATGAGGCAGGGAGCCTACAGTAGAGGCAGCAACAAGAGGTGCTGGTGGAAGGTGTACCACATATGAGGCAGGGAGCCTACAGTAGAGGCAGCAACAAGAGGTGCTGGTGGAAGGTGCACCACATATGAGGCAGGGAGCCTACAGTAGAGGCAGCAACAAGAGGTGCTGGTGGAAGGTGTACCACATATGAGGCAGGGAGCCTACAGTAGAGGCAGCAACAAGAGGTGCTGGTGGAAGGTGTACCACATGGAGGTTACAGTAGAGGCAGGAGGGGCTGGTACCTTCATCTTGGTGCCTCTGGAGATGTCCCAAGCGATAATACTCTGGTCCTGGCTGCCGGTGTACAGGATGTGTCCGTTGGGGTCCGTGTCCATGCTGGTGATGGGCTTCTTGTGACCCTTGAATGTCTGCAACAATAGGTAATGTAACGTAGCGTGTTATCAAGCCCAAGTGCTAGGCCAGAATGGCCGCGTAGCGCATGGAAAGGAGATGAGGTGGGGCGGGAGGACTCTGTGAGGAAACGGGATCCACCTACTGGGATCATCGGGGATCAAACGCCGTCCTGCAAGAAGTGAGGCTGTCACTGTGCCGACCACCTCAAATGGATAACAATATAAATATCTACTTATCGCATATGAACATCCATATCCTGGTTGGTAGGACAGCGGTCATGTATTAATCAGGCCCGAGTTCGAATCTCAGATGATCCAAAAACTTCAGTACCTCATTACATTATATAATACTAAAGAATTTAGAACATATATTAAGGTTCAGTTTTGTTTACGAAAGTTACAATTTAGTGTTTTTACAGAGTTTTCAAATTTCTTGAATGAATATGTACGTGTTTACGTGAGAATACGTTTGTGTGTGTATTGGTTGACCTTGTGTGGGTGAGTGGCTGACCTTGTGTGGGTGAGTGGCTGACCTTGTGTGGGTGAGTGGCTGACCTTGTGTGGGTGAGTGGCTGACCTTGTGTGGGTGAGTGGCTGACCTTGTGTGGGTGAGTGGCTGACCTTGAGGCACTGGGCAGTATCGAAGGACCAAGCCCGGGCAGTGTTGTCGAAGCTGGCGGTGATGACGAGGTCCGCCGGGTTAATGTTGTAGCCGTTCTCGTCTGGGACTCCCATGTCCCGCCCCGGCACGAAGATGATAGGGGACACTATCCCAGTGTGTCCCTGAGGGAGGATAGATAGGCTATAGTGTCGTATCCCAGAGTCGCGCCCCGTGTCAACATGCATTATCACCTCTTCTGATACCGTGCTGCACATATAAGGTGCTCCTGTAGTTCCCATCAGTCTTTCCTTCCTCCGCAAATATACTGGCTCCTGACCTTATATGTATGTATCAGATTCAAGACATAAATTTTATCAAACCTAACCTAACTTAATTTTTCATAAATTAGTCCAGTCATTTGAATGATTACAACATCTTTAGTGAATAAACAATACATTAGGCTCTTGATCTCTCGTTATGATCTATTTGTGTTGTATCATCCTTTGGTCTGAATATTGGCCAGTTTAACCAACAGAATTTATTGCAATCTTTGCTTGGACTTTTCTAACACAATCATTGCAATTACTTTGAACATTTTCTGCTATTAAGATTTCTAAATGTTACATTAATATTGAATAGTTTTATTCATTTTGGAATTTCATTGACGTTATCATGGAATTCAGAATTGTTGTATTCTTTATATTGTATTACTGTCTCTTTGAAACCGAATAAAGTATTGCGAGCAATTCTATTAGCTTTTACCACAAAATATTTATGGTGTTTTAAATTGAAGCTAACAATATGTGGCTCTCATTTCTTGATGTATAAACTCTGGGCTGCATATCTTCCGAGCCCTCACGCAATGTACACTCCTTAATTTGTATGAATTATTGAATGAAAACATATGATTTAGTATATAAAATAATATTGTCTGGTATATGAAATATTATTATTAGTTAATAGAGCGTACTGTATCGTTAAGCCTACATTATATTCGGTTGGGCGTTTGCGTTCTGTGGCAGCCCGTCCTCAGGCTAGGTTCATTCCATCCAGCGGCCGACCCCAAAGATGAGTATTGTGTGTTCAGGAGCAGGTTAGGCTCTTACCAAATATTTGAACTTCAAGTACGTGGATGAAACATTTACTCAATTGCCATTCAAACATAGGGTTGTCAGCGAAGCCTTATTTGAGAAATGTTCGGACGTCATCAGTTGTGAGTAGTGTGTTATGAGTTTTTCATTTGCAAGCGGGGTTGGTGGCTGCATGGAATGAACATTGCCTATTATGATTATGTGAGTAGCTGCTTTGTTTATGAAGACGGTCTGGAGTATGTAAATGTGTGCCTTATAAGGACGGAGCTTAAAGCTTATACAGAAGTGTAATTTGAACATAGGAATTCAAAATGAAGAAAAAATCTAATGTAATCATGTGTGAGGGATGTAACCCGCCCATAGTCATGTGATGCAGCCCGCCCATAGTCATGTGATGCAGCCCGCCCATAGTCATGTGATGCAGCCCGCCCATAGTCATGTGATGCAGCCCGCCCATAGTCATGTGATGCAGCCCGCCCATAGTCATGTAGAGGGAACTTCCCATCAGCGAGTGAAGATGGGCTGAAGTGACAGGCGGACACAAGAAGACTAAGAGTACCTCGAAGACGCGGATGCCGGCCTCGGCGGGGTCGTGAACGTCGCGGGTGTCGAAGAGCCACGCCCTCGCCGTCTTGTCGTGCGAGGTGCTGAAGATGAACTCTCCGGTACATATGAGGCGGTTCACGCGGCCTGTGTGTCCTGTTCTTATGGTACTGGTTAGTAACCTCTGGTGTTGTTGGTGCTCTGGTGGTGCTCTGGTGGTGCTGGTGGTGCTCTGGTGGTGCTGGTGGTGCTCTGGTGGTGCTGGTGGTGCTCTGGTGGTGCTGGTGGTGCTCTGGTGGTGCTGGTGGTGCTCGGGTGCTGGTGGTGCTCTGGTGGTGGTGGTGCTCTGGTGGTGCTGGTGGTGCTCTGGTGGTGCTGGTGGTGCTCGGGTGCTGGTGGTGCTCTGGTGGTGGTGGTGCTCTGGTGGTGCTGGTGGTGCTCTGGTGGTGCTGGTGGTGCTCTGGTGGTGCTGGTGGTGCTTGGGTGTTGGTGGTGCTGGTGGTGCTCTGGTGGTGCTGGTGGTGCTCTGGTGGTGCTGGTGGTGCTCGGGTGTTGGTGGTGCTCGGGTGTTGCTGGTGGTGCTGGTGGTGCTCGGGTGGTGCTGGTGGTGCTCGGGTGGTGCTGGTGGTGCTCGGGTGGTGCTGGTGGTGCTCGGGTGGTGCTGGTGGTGCTCTGGTGGTGCTGGTGGTGCTCTGGTGGTGCTGTTGGTGCTCGGGTGGTGCTGGTGGTGCTCGGGTGGTGTTGGTGGTGCTCGGGTGGTGCTGGTGGTGCTGGTGGTGCTCTGGTGGTGCTCTGGTGGTGCTGGTGGTGCTCTGGTGGTGCTCTGGTGGTGCTGGTGGTGCTCTGGTGGTGCTGGTGGTGCTCTGGTGGTGCTGGTGGTGCTCGGGTGGTGCTGGTGGTGCTCGGGTGGTGCTGGTGGTGCTCTGGTGCTGCTCTGGTGGTGCTGGTGGTGCTCTGTTGGTGCTGGTGGTGCTCTGGTGGTGCTCGGGTGGTGCTGGTGGTGCTCTGGTGGTGCTCTGGTGGTGCTCTGGTGGTGCTCTGGTGGTGCTGGTGGTGCTCTGGTGGTGCTCTGGTGGTGCTCTGGTGGTGCTGGTGGTGCTGGTGGTGCTGGTGGTGCTCTGGTGGTGCTCGGGTGCTGGTGGTGCTCTGGTGGTGCTGGTGGTGCTGTTGGTGCTCTGGTGGTGCTGGTGGTGCTCTGGTGGTGCTGGTGGTGCTCTGGTGGTGCTGGTGGTGCTCTGGTGGTGTTGGTGGTGCTCTGGTGGTGCTGGTGGTGCTCTGGTGGTGCTGGTGGTGCTCGGGTGTTGGTGGTGCTCTGGTGGTGCTGGTGGTGCTGGTGGTGCTCGGGTGTTGGTGGTGCTCGGGTGCTGGTGGTGCTCGGGTGCTGGTGGTGCTCGGGTGCTGGTGGTGCTGGTGGTGCTGGTGGTGCTCTGGTGGTGCTGGTGGTGCTGGTGGTGCTCTGGTGGTGCTGGTGGTGCTCTGGTGGTGCTCTGGTGGTGCTGGTGGTGCTCTGGTGGTGCTGGTGGTGCTCTGGTGGTGCTGGTGGTGCCCTGGTGGTGCTGGTGGTGCTCGGGTGTTGGTGGTGCTCGGGTGCTGGTGGTGCTCTGGTGGTGCTGGTGGTGCTCTGGTGGTGCTCTGGTGGTGCTGGTGGTGCTGGTGGTGCTCTGGTGGTGCTGGTGGTGCTGGTGGTGCTCTGGTGGTGCTGGTGGTGCTCTGGTGGTGCTGGTGGTGCTGGTGGTGCTGGTGGTGCTCTGGTGGTGCTCGGGTGTTGGTGTTGCTCGGGTGTTGGTGGTGCTGGTGGTGCTGGTGGTGCTCGGGTGTTGGTGGTGCTCGGGTGCTGGTGGTGCTCGGGTGCTGGTGGTGCTCGGGTGCTGGTGGTGCTCGGGGGCTGGTGGTGCTCGGGGGCTGGTGGTGATCGGGTGCTGGTGGTACTCGGGTGCTGGTGGTGCTCGGGTGCTGGTGGTGCTCGGGTGCTGGTGGTGCTCGGGTGCTGGTGGTGCTCGGGTGCTGGTGGTGCTCGGGTGCTGGTGGTGCTCGGGTGCTGGTGGTGCTCGGGTGCTGGTGGTGCTCGGGTGCTGGTGGTGCTCGGGGGCTGGTGGTGCTCGGGGGCTGGTGGTGCTCGGGGGCTGGTGGTGCTCGGGGGCTGGTGGTGCTCGGGGGCTGGTGGTGCTCGGGGGCTGGTGGTGCTCGGGGGCTGGTGGTGCTCGGGGGCTGGTGGTGATCGGGTGCTGGTGGTGCTCGGGTGCTGGTGGTGCTCGGGTGCTGGTGGTGCTCGGGGGCTGGTGGTGCTCGGGGGCTGGTGGTGCTCGCGTGCTGGTGGTGCTCGTGTGGTGGTGGTGCTCGCGTGCTGGTGGTGCTCGTGTGGTGGTGGTGCTCGCGTGCTGGTGGTGCTCGTGTGGTGGTGGTGCTCGCGTGCTGGTGGTGCTCGTGTGGTGGTGGTGCTCGCGTGCTGGTGGTGCTCGTGTGGTGGTGGTGCTCGCGTGCTGGTGGTGCTCGTGTGGTGGTGGTGCTCGCGTGCTGGTGGTGCTCGCGTGCTGGTGGTGATCTGGTGTTAGTGGTGTCTAGACACACACAACACAACACCTCTCCTAGACACACAACACAACACCTCTCCTAGACACACAACACAACACCTCTCCTAGACACACAACACAACACCTGTCCTAGACACACAACACAACACCTCTCCTAGACACACAACACAACACCTATTATTTATATCAGTCTTGTTTTATTATTCAATGTCGGTCAAGATATCTGTGTTGGTGTGTTTGTAGACAAAGATTAGTAACATGCAAACCCAATTACCTGTTGATTAGTTTAGTTCTCTGGCGCTGGACTTACAAACAAATGTTGCATGTCCACTTGCGAGATCTGTACTTATGTGAGTCATGGCGGCCTCGACCTCGCTACTTAGTAAACAGTTTACCAGTTGTAATGCACAAGCCACCACCCGGTAGCCGTCCGCTGCTCGTAAACTCTTCACTAAATACCGACTCAGCCGCCATGATCGAGAGAGCTGCTGATATCGTAAGTTGGTAAGAACTCTGAGAATCGGGTACAGGATGTGTCTGCTTCCATCTTTGTCACCTCGCTAAGTGTGTGAACCCGGCAAGTGTTGTAATGACCATTAAACACACCCCATTACAACATACAATAATAATAACATTTCTGAAGAAAACGGACGAACCTTGGAAGGTGAACTCGCAGAGGGTAGAAGCCATATCCCACTTCTTTATGGTCATGTCTTTAGATCCCGTGATGACGTAGGTGTCGTACACTGTGGCGCACTGTATGAACCCCGTGTGGCCCCTGGGGGAGGAGATGACCTGAGTTATTACCCCCCCCCCCTGGGGGGAGGATCCCTGGAAACACAAACCGAAACTGTCTCTATTTTCCGCTTGTTACAACTTGTAATAAAGTTGTTATATCTTGGCTTAACGTGTTTATGACGTATTAGAACGTTGTTACAACTTGCCATATTGGTTGTTATAACTGGTTAGGTGTTAAAACTTGTTCGAACGTTGTACCAACGTCGTAGTTTCAGTGTGTGTTTGGCGGGATATGACTTGAATATTGAGGTAACAGCGGAGCAAGCAATTACGGGCTATTCATGCCCGTGCCATCTCTTGGGGTGGATTAACCTTCATCAATCGAGGAAGCAAGAATACAACTAGCACCACTGAATGTATCTAAAGCAACTGGGCCAGATGGAATATCATCATGGATGTTAAATGAAGCAGCACACACCCTCGGCACACCTCTAGCCCTGACCTATAATGAGTCACTTACAAAGGGTAAGAGCTGCTGAAAGAAGGAAATGTGGTGCCAGTCTACTAGAAAGGTGATAGAGAAGAGACAACTATAGACCAGTGTCGTTCACAAGCATTCCTTGCAGAGTAAGTGAAAGAATTATAAGGTTAAGACTCGTTGCACACCTGGGAAGAATTAGGTTTCTAAGTAAACAACAATATAACTTTAGAGAATGGCAATCATGCCTGACGAACCTCTCGAAGTTTTATAGTAAGGTAACGAAAATAAGGCAAGACAGAGAAGGCTGGGAAGACTTCATATTTCTAGACGGCCGTAATGCCTTTGATACAGTACCACACATGAGGTTACTATTAAACTTGAGACGCAGGCGGAGTAGACGGAAACGCATTAACATGGGGTAAAGAATTACCTAACAGACAGGTTGTCAGAGAGTGACAGTGAGTGGCGAGGAGTCGGACTGGCGTAGAGTAATAATCTGTGTGCTTCAAGGATCGTTGCTGGGTCCTATACTATTCCTCATTTATGTAAACGACTTGACTGCAGGAGTTAAGTCTTATATGTCGATGTTTGCAGATGCCGCAAAACTAATGAGGAGACGAGGAGTCACAATAACGTGGCTGAAATATGTTGACCAAACCACACACTAGAAAGTGAAGGGACGACGACGTTTCGGTCCGTCCTGGATCATTCTCAAGTCGATTGTAAATAGTCCAGGACGGACCGAAACGTCGTCGTGCCTCCACTTTTTAGTGTGTGGTTTGGTCAACACTAATGAGGAGAGTTGAGACATGAGAATTGTAAGATTCTCCAGGATGACCTGGACAGGTTGCAGAGCTGGTCTGATAAATGGCTGCTAGAGTTCAACACTAGCAAGTGTAAGGTGATGGAAATGCGATCAAGAGCCAGGAGACCGAAAGGTCAATACACAATGAAGGGAAACTACCTCCCTATAACGTCTAGAGAACAAGACCTGGGAGTGGACATAACACCAAACCTAACTCCAGAGGCTCATATAAATAGAATAACGTCAGCCGCATACTCTACTCTGGCAAAAGTCAGAACATCCTTCAAGAGCTTGAATAAGGAGGCTTTTAGATCACTGTATACCGTCTATGTGAAGCCAGTCTTAGAGTATGCCGCACCGTCCTGGAGCCCCTCATCTAAAAAACACATAAGGAAGCTCGAGAAGGTGCAGACGTTTACAACGAGACTCGTCCCAGAGCTGCGAGGGATGAGGTACGAAGACAGACTGAAGGAACTAAACGTGACGACGCTAGAATGAATGAAGGAGAGAGGGAACATGATACAGACGTATGAAATACATAGAGGGATTGACAGGAAGGAAGCAGAGGCAATGTATAAAATGAATATCAACAGAACAAGATGGCACGGATAGACGTTTGAGACTCAGATGTGTCATAGAGATGTTAGAAAGTTTTCTTTTAGCGTAAGGGTAGTAACTGAAATGATCTAAAGGCGCAGATTGTAGAAGCTAACTCTATTTATAACTTTAAAAGCAGGTATGAAAAGGAGATAGGTCAGTGGTCATTGTATTAGACCACAAACAGCTAGAGAAGCGGGGTTCAAGAGCTAGAGCTCGTTCCTGCAGGCACAAATTGGTAAGTACAAATAGGTGAGTAGACAGTACTGTCGTAACAAAGTACCGTGATTTACACGGTAAATACCTTCACTAACACAGGGGCCACAGATTATAACTATATGTGGCCCCTTGCGAAAATAGAGGGGTCCCCCCCCCCCAGGGTGAATAAAGTACTTATTTATGGTCCCCCTGGGTGAATAAAGTTTTTGGGACCCCCTGTGGAAATAAAGTGCTTATATGTGGCCCACTTGGGTGAATATAGTGGTACTTGTGGCATCCTCATAAAGAAAGTTATTAAGTTAGTATTCATTGCTCTCTGCCCAGATAAATGTGTTAGTTATGGTCTCTCTCGTCGCGCGGGTTCAGATAATAACACACAGATCATCAGTGTTTTCATTTGTCAAAATAACCTTCAGTTGTGACAGTAGTAAGTTTGGTAATGAAGGAAGAGTCCAGGGGGGCCAGATTCACGAAAGCACTTACATAAGTACTGACGAACGTGTACATCTCTCCTTAATCTTTGACGGCTTTGGTTACATTTATTAAACAGTTTACAAGCATGAAAACTTCCCATTCAACTATTGTTATAAACAGCCTCCTGGTGCTTCGGAGCTCATTAACTGTTTAATAATTGGAAACAAAGCCGCCAAAGATTGAGAAAAGATGGACAGGTTCGTAAGTGCTTTCGTGAATCTGGCCCCAACACCACCAGTGTGAGGCTGGTGACTCTAGAACACCAAGACGTTAGCTTAGGACACCGGAACACCTGTGATCAGGGAGCCGGTCGGCCGAGCGGACAGCACGCTGGACTTGTGATCCTGTGGTCCTGGGTTCGATCCCAGGCGCCGGTGAGAAACATTGGGCAGAGTTTCTTTCACCCTATGCCCCTGTTACCTAGCAGTAAAATAGGTACCTGGGTGTTAGTCAGCTGTCACGGGCTGCTTCCTGCTGGTGGAGGCCTGGTCGAGGACCGGGCCGCGGGGACACTAAAAAGCCCCGAAATCATCTCAAGATAACCTCAAGATAACCTCTCACCAAACCACACATCACACAAGGAAGAAACGACGACATTTCGGTCCGTCCTGGATTATTATCAAGTAATTATCATGTAATTATCTGAGGGAAATGCTAAGCTGGCATGACTATTTAGCACTTACAATGGCATAAGGATCTCACAGGAGCTGGGATAGGATGGAGTGAAGGATTCGTCCTAAACCTCTTGCACCATCGGGGATCGAACAGCGACTTGCAAGATGCGAGGCCGTCACTATATCGACCAGTAATATATAACACTTAGAACTACTACAAATATGAGTGTAAGAGCGTGCAGGGGGGGACCTAGTATGAGTGTAAGAGCGTGCAGGGGGGACCTAGTATGAGTGTAAGAGCGTGCAGGGGGGACCTGGTATGAGTGTAAGAGCGTGCAGAGGGACCCACTCCAGGACGCCCAGGTCCTCGATGGGCTCCGTCTTGGTGCTCCAGAGCCGGAGGGTGTTGTCGTCGGAGCCGGAGACCAGCAACGAGCTGTCCTCGGAGAGCGCCATGCAGTTGATGCACCCATTGTGGTCCGTCAGGGTCTCCAGGGGCGTCGCCTCCAGCCCGTCCTTACTCACACCACTCCCCATCTTGGTCGTCACCCTGGGGGGAGGAAGGCAATACACAGTAAGTAATTATCAAAGAAGGCACCAAGCCGGGAAGGCTGTGAAGCACCATCAAATGTGCGGGATAATCAGAGGGCGCTAAATATCACCAAGGATGCCAATATGAGAACAGAAACGCATAAGGTGAACGATATCCATAGTATCAGTCACCAAGAATTCTATCGAGGGACAAGCGACCGCGTGGGACAGTCGGAAAGCAAGACACGCTCGTTCGGTGGTAGGAAGAAAGTAACAGGAACACACTACTCTTAAGAGTACGCAGTTTGTTACCAGTAACAGAAGACCAACAACCCTGCCAACGGGCAAGGATGGAGGAATGAATAACTGGGTAAAAGTCGGAATAAGAAATATCTTTACGGGAGATGGGACAAGCGTGGATAGCTTCCTTAGCGGCAGCATCCGCACGCTCCTTTAAAGAGACACCAATATGGCTGGAAACCCAGCAAAACTCAACTGTCTTAAATCTACTAGAGATAAGAAACAGACAAAGTTGAATATCGACTACCACCGGAGGGACTGGAAAAAGGACTCCAGAGCCATGAGGGTACTGCTAGAGTCAACTATAACCACAAAGGAGGATTGACAGCGAGAAAGCAGGAGACGAAGAGCCTAGAAAATAACATAAAGTTCTGCCGTGAAGATGCCAGTCTCCGGAGGAAGGCGACACATACAGGTGTGGTCAGGAAAAACAACAGAGTAGCCCACACCGTCTGCAGACTTAGACCCAACGGTGAAGATGGAAACGGAGCAGGAATGTGAAGAAAAGTGTTCAAGGAAAAGGCGTTTCAGAATTGTAGGAGGTAAAAGCTTTGATGATGTGGGTCAGGGATTTGCAATATTGAGGAAGGGGGATCCTCCACGGGGGCAAGGACGCAACAACACGAGGAGAAATATTAGTAATACTAGTCGAAAGAGAATGTTGCAGCCGAGACAACCCGGACAGAAAGAGGGAGGTGGTGAAGGGGAACAGAAACTACAGGAGGGGGAAAAGTCAAAGCACGACACAGGCGAGAGTGAGGGTGTTGTAAGGACCGTGCAAGGTAGCGAAGACAGTAGTGATCTCGGCGGTCCTGGAGAGACAGGAAGCGTACAAGCTGAGAGTAAGAGTCGAACGAAAGGCACCAAAGCTGAGGCGCAACGCAGTATGGTGTAAAGGATCAAGACGGCGAAGAGTAGAAGGAGAAGCAGAAGAGTATGCAGGGAAACCATAATCGAGTTTAGACAGTACGAGAGAGGAACGTTCGCCTATCCGCTCCCCAAGAAGTATGGGACAAAACCTTAAGTAAGTTAAGGGCCTTAGAGCATTCAACTCGGAGGTAAGAGATATGGGGCGACCAAGACAAACGAGTGTCAAAGAATAACCCCAAAAGCTTCACGGAATCATTGTACACAAGGGGACGACCATAAAGTGACAAAGAGGGGACGAAGAACTACATGCTTCCGAGTAAAAATCATATCACAAGTCTAAGTTGCAGAGAACTTGATGCCCAAGATTGTTGACCTCTGTCACAATTGTTGACCTCTGTCACCATTGTTGACCTCTGTCACCATTGTTGACCTCTGTCACCATTGTTGACCTCTGTCACCATTGTTGACCTCTGTCACCATTGTTGACCTCTGTCACCATTGTTGACCTCTGTCACCATTGTTGACCTCTGTCACCATTGTTGACCTCTGTCACCATTGTTGACCTGTGTCACCATTGTTGACCTATGTCACCATTGTTGACCTCTGTCACCATTGTTGACCTCTGTCACCATTGTTGACCTCTGTCACCATTGTTGACCTATGTCACCATTGTTGACCTCTGTCACCATTGTTGACCTGTGTCACCATTGTTGACCTCTGTCACCATTGTTGACCTGTGTCACCATTGTTGACCTGTGTCACCATTGTTGACCTGTGTCACCATTGTTGACCTGTGTCACCATTGTTGACCTCTGTCACCATTGTTGACCTGTGTCACCATTGTTGACCTGTGTCACCATTGTTGACCTGTGTCACCATTGTTGACCTGTGTCACCATTGTTGACCTCTGTCACCATTGTTGACCTGTGTCACCATTGTTGACCTCTGTCACCATTGTTGACCTCTGTCACCATTGTTGACCTCTGTCACCATTGTTGACCTCTGTCACCATTGTTGACCTCTGTCACCATTGTTGACCTATGTCACCATTGTTGACCTCTGTCACCATTGTTGACCTGTGTCACCATTGTTGACCTCTGTCACCATTGTTGACCTGTGTCACCATTGTTGACCTCTGTCACCATTGTTGACCTGTGTCACCATTGTTGACCTCTGTCACCATTGTTGACCTGTGTCACCATTGTTGACCTCTGTCACCATTGTTGACCTGTGTCACCATTGTTGACCTCTGTCACCATTGTTGACCTCTGTCACCATTGTTGACCTGTGTCACCATTGTTGACCTGTGTCACCATTGTTGACCTGTGTCACCATTGTTGACCTCTGTCACCATTGTTGACCTGTGTCACCATTGTTGACCTCTGTCACCATTGTTGACCTCTGTCACCATTGTTGACCTCTGTCACCATTGTTGACCTGTGTCACCATTGTTGACCTGTGTCACCATTGTTGACCTCTGTCACCATTGTTGACCTCTGTCACCATTGTTGACCTGTGTCACCATTGTTGACCTCTGTCACCATTGTTGACCTCTGTCACCATTGTTGACCTCTGTCACCATTGTTGACCTCTGTCACAATTGTTGACCTCTGTCACCATTGTTGACCTCTGTCACCATTGTTGACCTATGTCACCATTGTTGACCTATGTCACCATTGTTGACCTCTGTCACCATTGTTGACCTCTGTCACCATTGTTGACCTCTGTCACCATTGTTGACCTATGTCACCATTGTTGACCTCTGTCACCATTGTTGACCTATGTCACCATTGTTGACCTCTGTCACCATTGTTGACCTGTGTCACCATTGTTGACCTGTGTCACCATTGTTGACCTGTGTCACCATGGTTTAACACCTGCCACCAGTGGTTCTGGTGGCCGGGTCCCCCGCCCCCCGGTGACCGTGCGGACGCCTCCCGGAAGAGTTGGAGGGAAGACTGACCCCATTCCTGCTCCGCTGGTAATGGGGGTCAGTGTCCCCCCCCCCCCTCCAACCCTTAGTAAGGGAGTAAGATGGGTGGTGAGGCAGAGGAGTGTGTGTGGTGATAGTGACGGAGATGGGACGAGGCAAGTGGTTAAGGGAGGTCGAGCACACTATTATGTTGTTAACCAGCATGACGACGGTAAATGTGTTGTAGCGTTGTGGTGTTGGGTCGATCAATACCTCCAGCACGTGAGCTGCCCACCACAACCACCCATCGTGGGCTCCCTCACTCCATCCCATCCAACCTCCCTCACTATCCTCCCTCTTTCCCCTCCCTCCTTACCTCTAGCTGCTCAGCTGGTCATTCACTCCTGCCACCCAGGACCAGGTCGTGGCACCCTCGTCTTCACCCCCCCCCCCATGCTGCTAAATTAAATACCCTTCAACACATTCACAATTTACAAACTGAAAGCAATATCACACAAGCCAAGTATACCGATAGATCTTCCAGTTCAGTCCCAGGGAGGGACGGGGGGGAATGCTGTGATTGTGCACCAGCCAAACGACAGAAAGCACAATTGAGAGGAATGCACGTCGCCTGTTGTCTAACGACAGTTTGTTATAGTTCTGATATTTGCTATTTGCTGAGTGATGATAGGCTTGAGGTAATTTGCAGTGGTTGGACCGAATGCACAGATACCATATGTAAGATAGGGATAGATTAGCGCATAATATAATGAGAGCTAGGAGGGCGGTGGGGAACATAATATCTTTTAGAAAGTATACAGACCGTTTTTGATACTTTTTTTTAGCACCGTCATACAACACATGCTATGTGTTGTATGAGGGTGCTGAAGTTCAGTCTCTTTCTATATATAGGCCAAGGAACTCCCCCTCAATTTTATTGGTAATGTTAACATTGTTTATCACACTAAACAGCACTAACAAAATCACCACCACGTGTAGTTCTTAGCTATATACACTTATTGTATATATACAACACAGATAACACCTTAGGTGTCACTGTCACACACAGGACACTACAAAAGAACTTCCGCGATTTTCTATCCTGGCGAGTCCTCCTGCGTACAACACCCGAGGTGCCTTCCTTGAGCCTTTCTTCTAAGGCACTCACACCGGAGAGTCCACTTTCCTCAGCAGTTCACGGGCCAGTCCTCCATGGTATCATCACAGTGTCTACCTCGAAACTCCAGCAACACGCTGGCTGGCTTCCGTCTAAAGACCTCGCCTTTAACAAGCCTTAACTTAAGAGAACAGACGGACGCTAATTCCATCAAGTAACACAACTGGGCCATCCCGGGATACGTCGGACCAATCGCTAATAGCTCGCTGGCTACCATCAGACAATTCATTGTCTCCACAGACCAGGCACTACTTGTTTCCACTGAAACAAGTCTTGCATTCAGGACTGTCCTTACTGGTCACTCCGGGTGAACTCCCACTTGCTGTTCAAGGTACCTCCTCTCCCCCCCCCCCGACATCACTTCTGAGGAATGAAAATTGTATAGTAAGAAGCAAACTGCACAGGTCTTGGTAGGATCACAGACTTCCGTCGGGAAACAGAAAATAGGGTCGGGTGCGCTCAACAGATGGCATTGACATCGTCACAATCCTACTCACAATTTTTGCATCATTAGCAAAAATTAAGAGGTAGGAATCTATTCCCTCCGGTAAGTCGTTCACATAGATTATATCGGCCTTTGATACTGTAACCAATAACTACCTCTTAAACTTCACCATTATGACATCCGATGCTTTGCTCTGAACTATATTCGATCCTATCTTAGTAACAGACACCAATATGTAGCCATCAATGATATAACCTCTCCCACTCTACCATTAACCGTAGGAGTGCAACAGGGCAGCATCCTAGGACCTCTCGTATTTCTTGTATACATCAATGATCTGCCTAATGTCTCTAACATTCTTAAACCTATACTATTTGCTGACGATACTACCCTCATCTACTCAGACCCCCAACCCACACACACTAAATAATGTTATAAATAACGAATTACAAAAAGTCCACTTATGGATGTCAACCAACAAACTCACACTAAACATAGAACAGACCTAATACATCTTATCTGGAAGTAAATCAGCAAATGAAATTCAGCTTCAGATAGACAATGTTAAGCCATTATTCAGGCTAAAGATGTCCACCACTATCTTTAAGGGTAGTTCGTAACTAATGCAGTGTCATTACTAGGCCTACTACTATGGTTCTTACTAGGCCTATTACTATGGCTCTTACTAGGCCTACTACTATGACCCTTACTAGGTCTACTATTAATATGGTTCTTACTAGGCCTATTACTATGGCTCTTACTAGGCCTACTACTATGACCCTTACTAGGTCTACTATTAATATGGCTCTTACTAGGCCTACCATTACTATGGCTCTTACTACTACTACTGTGGTATTACGTCTGCCTCACTAACATTTCTCAACACTTTAACTATAAGCTAAATGGTTTTATTTTATATCTAAAAATTCGTTTCATATTCACCTGTTCAGTCCAGCCAGAATTGTAACTTTTATATAAGCTGTTACGAATAAAGCCTCCAAATCTAAATTAAGCTAGGATATATTAGGATAAGTTAGTTTTTTTTTTTTTTTTTTTTGAAGTATATACAAGAGTTGTTACATTCTTGTACAGCCACTAGTAAGCGTAGCGTTTCGGGCAGGTCCCTGGAATACGATCCCCTGCCGCGAAGAATCGTTGTTACAACCAAGTACACATTTTACTGTTGCGTTAAACAGAGGCTACAGGTAAGGAATTGCGCCCAGTAAATCCTCCCCGGCCAGGATACGAACCCATGACATAGCGCTCGCGGAACGCCAGGCGAGTGTCTTACCACTACACCACGGAGATTGATGTAAGCTCTGTATGGCTAGGTTATCTTAGGATAAGTTAGGTTCTGTATGGCTAGGTTATCTTAGGATAAGTTAGGTTCTGTATGGCTAGGTTATCTTAGGATAAGTCAGGTTCTGTATGGCTAGATTATCTTAGGATAAGTCAGGTTCTGTATGGCTAGGTTATCTTAGAATAAGTTAGGTTCTGTATGGCTAGATTATCTTAGGATAAGTCAGGTTCTGTATGGCTAGGTTATCTTAGGATAAGTTAGGTTCTGTATGGCTAGGTTATCTTAGTGCAGGTTAAGTTTAGCTTGACTACTTCAACATTTCCAGTTGTATGCAGATTTTCCCATCTGGTACCCTGATGGTGACGTCACTAAGTGATGTAGGATGTAGTAGCTTAAGTTACTCTATCATTTTGCGATGTATATTATCTCGGTAAACTAACTTTAAACTTGAACGAAGCGACGCCACAAAATTTCCACGATGTATTAGGTTATTTTGAGCTGTTCTTGAGGCCAAAATACAGGTTTCATTATAAAGTTAGTTTAGCGGGTCACACAGCTCCCTGTGGTCCGATGACGTACAGAGTAATGATCCATCGACCTATTTGTATACTACAGGTGCGTGTGTGGACAGTGGTGGAGGTCTCGCACCTATCAATACACGTGAGGTTCAGACCTCCAGTATAAGTCACGAGCCTCGTCCTCCAGATTTGACGGGAGACATCTCCCGTCACGCAGGGTGCAGTCGCGCCTCCACAGATCTCCAGTATCAGCTCTTGATACTGGTAATGGCTCAAAAGGGCCACCACTTACGGGGTATTCATGCCCGTGCCACCTCTTGGGTGGCTTAATCTTCATCAATCAATTCAATCTGTTTAAATCACGGAAGACATCTTCCGTCACGCAGGGTGCAGTCGCACCTCCACAGTTCACCAGTATCATCTATTGATACTGGTGATGGCTCAAAAGGGCCACCACTTACGGGCTATTCATGCCCGTGCCACCTTTTGGGTGGCTTAATCTTCATCTAACACATTCACAAAGGAGACATGCAGGGTACATTTGCACCTCCACAGATCTCCAGTATCAGCTCTTGATACTGGTAATGGCTCAAAAGGGCCACCACTTACGGGCTATTCATGCCCGTGCCACCTTTTGGGTGGCTTAATCTTCATCAATCAATCTCCAGATTTATCTCCCGTAAACCTCCTCCTTCGCGATAGGTGCAGTTTGCAGGAAGCTTTGTCCTGGCGGTGACTGCACGAGCGGTGATGGACGCGGCACTCACAGTGGCGGGTCAAGGTTATAATATGGCGGAGAAGCTTTTCTTCCGAGGAAGAACAATTAACAGATAAAATAACAAATAGAAGAAACAATATGACAAAATTTGTGAATTGTGGGGTTCAGTGTCCCTAACTTGCACACCATGCAAGGTGATGGAGACGATTTAGCGAAGAAAAACTATTAGAACATCTGGAGAAAGAATTTTGTAGAACATCTCCAACATGGGTTCAGAGATAACAAATCTTGCCTCACAGGTTTAATAGAATTCTATGAGCAAGCAAGACGGAGAAGGGTGGGTAGACTGATAATTTTGGAATGCCAGAAAGCCTTTGACACAGTACCCCATTGGAGACTAGTGCATAAGCTGGAGATACAGGCAGGAATACATGAGAAGGTACTCCAAAGGGTAATAGAGTACCTAAGGAACAGAAGGCAGCGAGTCACTGTGAAAGGTGAGGTCTCAGAATGGCAAGACGACACCAGTGGAGTCCCAAACGGTTCAGTCCCTGAACCTATCCTGTTTCTGATACATATATAATAAACGATCTCCAAGAGGGAATAGACTCGTTCCTCTCAATGTTTGCCGAGGATGTGAAAACCATGAGAAAAATTAAGACCGAGGAAGAGAGCAATAGAATGGTCCACCAAATGGCTACTAAAGTGCAACCCAAGTAAATGTAAAGTAATGAGGCTAAGTAGAGGGAACAGGAGGCCAGACACAGGGTACCGAATGGAACACGAAGTTCTCCGAGAAATGGAGAGAGAAAGATTTAGGAGTTGATATCACACCGAATCGGTCTCCTGAAGCCTATGTCAAAAGGATATCAATAGCGACGTATGCAAGGCTGGCTAGCCTTCAGAAATTTATGTAAGGAATCATTTAGAACATTGTATACTACATATGTAAGACCATTTATGGAGTATGCAGCTTCAGCATGAAGTCCATACCTTGACAAGTTTAAGATGAAGCTGAAGAAGGTTCAAAGGTATACCACTAAGGCTAGTTCCGGAACTAAGAGGTACAAGTTATGAGGAAAGACTGCGTGAATTGCACCTCACGTCGCTGGAAGTCAAAGATCCATGGAGACATGGATCTCAGAGTGTGTCTACAGACACACACAGCACCGCTCCTGTGCCAGGTAAGTCCTCTACGGGTTCACCATAGCCCGTGCTACTTGCCCCGCTCCCGTGCCAGGTAAGTTACGGGCTCACCATAGCCCGTGCTACTTGAAACTTGTTCCGAGTAGCCGAATCTATAACAACAACATGGATCTCCACATACAAAATTCTCAGGAGAATTTACAGGGTGAATAGACAGGTTATTATACACTGGTGATACTTACACAAGGGAACACAGGTGGAGACTGAGTACCCAGATGAGACACACAGACATTAAAAAGAAGTTTTCAGTGTCAGGTTATTAACAAATGGAATTTATCGGTTCTTAAAATATCCCCCATTTTGCACACGCAAAATAAAGTAAATATATAAGGGTTGACAAATGTTAATTTAATCTTCTTGTCTGATATGATGTTCACTTGAGACAGTTAAGCAAGTTCCAGCTATGTCTGGGTACAAGTGACAAGATTAGCAACCCAGCGGGTTTTCTTCCTATTGGGGAGTGTTATACATGCTGCTATGGCGGTATGTCCACTCACAGGATGAGTGGCGCTGCCCAATAAACTCGCCCCTCGGGCAAAATTTAAAATAAAATTAAAATTAGGCAGTGATGTAGTGGAGGCAGACTCCATACACAGTTTCAAATGTAGATATAATAGAGTCCAATAGGCTCGTGAACCTGTACACCAGTTGATTAATAGCCGAGAGGCTGCACCAAAGAGGTCAAGCTCAACCCCCGCAAGCATAATTAGGCGAGTACTTACCTCTAACTCATGCAGAAGACGCTTCCCTATTGACAGCTTGAGGCAGAGTGGCGCCCGGCTTCCCGCGGGGCCTGCATCGACCAAGACTCCGCCCACCTCCACCACCAGCCAATCCCGATCGTCTTCACTCTCCCCGCCACACCGCAAGCCAATCACCGGCTGTGTGTGGGACAAATTTCCTGGCGTTTAATTTTTTTCCAGGAAAAACTGCTATCGTTATACAGAATTAAGATCTAATTCAGGTTATCAGACGCAAAGAACAAAAATACTGACAAGAATATAGGCCTAATATATTCCATATCCCCGCCTAATATATTCTATGTCTTTCTGAAGATAAGGTCTCCATGAACAAATCTTTGATTTGTTATTTGATGTATCACGCTATTATGATTTCTGTGTGTAATGAGGTCTCCATGCCTGGATGCCAGTCATCTGACCATTTGTGGAGTTCATGTAGATCGCTTTGTTAGGTCTCAATATCAATTTCACTTCCCACTTTACTATAGATCTTAGTGTCATCTGCAAATTTAATGATGTGGTTTGTAACATTCTCATTTATGTCATTGATGTATATGACGAAAAGGGTTGGCCCCAAAATGAACCCCTGTGGCACCCCACTTACCACATTTCCCCAGTCAGATTCATCCCCATTTAGCACGACCCTGTTTTCTATGTTTTAACCATCTTGAGATTATCTTGAGATGATTTCGGGGCTTTAGTGTCCCCGCGGCCCGGTCTTCGACCAGGCCTCCACCCCCAGGAAGCAGCCCGTGACAGCTGACTAACACCCAGGTACCTATTTACTGCTAGGTAACAGGGGCATAGGGTGAAAGAAACTCTGCCCAATGTTTCTCGCCGGCGCCTGGGATCGAACCCAGGACCACAGGATCACAAGTCCCGCGTGCTGTCCGCTCGGCCGACCGGCTCCGTCGGATAAATAAAATGGAATGTCGAATGGATAAAACTATTGTTTTATCCATTCCAGTACTCTGCCATTTATTGAATGCGCCAGTAATTTCCTTACTAGTCTCTCGTGTGGCACCTTGACAAAAGCTTTAGCAAAGTCCATGTAAGCTACATTTACCGGAAGTCCTTTCTCTGAATCGCCGGTTACCTTTCCAGAAATGTGAGCAGGTTAGTAAGGCAGGATCTATTGTTAACAAGCTCATGTTGCGTTGATTTTACAAAATAGTTCTGATACATATCAGAACAGATATCTTTTCGCACTCCATCACATAGTGACGGCGGGTGTGCGAATAATTTTGTTGACACAGTTTACATTTGGTCAGGTCTACATCAGCAGATAATGAGAATTCCCAGAGATACTTGTAACCGAGTCTAAGCCGAGCAAGAGTAACATCTAGAAGTCTGCTGATTTTATTAGACGATCCATAGATGTGTGGCTCCTCTTGCATGATAGTATGATGATAGATGGAATTACTGGTGTCGATTTCACTTTGCCTCAGACCTACAAGATTTGGTTGAAGTTCTTGGTGTACTGCTGCTCTCAGACTGCTCATTGACAATCCAAGGTCATACTCGATTTCTCCTTTAAAGGCAGATTCTTTGGCTAACTCATCAGTTCTACCATGCATTCGGAGGCCAACATGAGATGGAGTCCACATGAAATAGACTCTGTTACCATGATTAATAATTTTGTTGTATTTTACAAAATACGAGGCTTTTTGCTAAAGCCTTTGATAAAGTACCACGTGAAAGACTGGTAAGGAAATAGCAGACACGTGAAATAAATGGAGAATACTAGAATAGAAAAAAACAATGGTTGAGACAAAGAAAACGAAGGGTCGTGCTATATGGGTCCGAATCTAGTTTAGTTCATTTATTATACACCCCATACCCATCTTGTGGGCGGTATTGGAAAAGGTAACAGAGGCCCGAATCAGGCTGACTGGTAAGTGGGGTGCCACAGGGGTCCATTTTGAGGCCAACGCTTTTTGTTATTTACATCAATGACATAGATGAAAATATTACAAACCACATCATCGAATTTGCAGATGACACAAAGATATATGGTAAAGTGGGAAATGATTATGATGTTGGAGTCCAGTAAAGAGATCTTCATGAACTCCATAAATGGTCAGATGACTGGCAAATGCTTTGTAATATTGCCAAATGTAAGACAATGCATCTAGGGTATAACAGCCTACGCCACAAGCATCACATTAATAACATTACATTACAGCAGATTGATGAAGAAAAGGACCTCGGAATCAAAATCCACCACTCGTTGAAAGTTGCACAGCAGGTAGGAGCAGTAGTCAGAAAAGCTAACCAAACCCTCGGAATAAAATCCTATATAATAATAAATAACTCCTATTTATTAGTAATACATATAAAGTTATTAAATAATAAATAACCCTGATAAAAATAATAATCAAACGTGCCTTTGACTTTAAAGAAAGGAAGATGGTGATTCAATTGTATAAATCTCTGGTGCATAAACATTGTATCCAAACATGGAGACCTCCTCCTTTGAAGGACACAGCTACTCTGGAGAAGGTGCAACACTGGGCAACAAAAATCATTCCAGGACTAATTAAGTCAGCTCACGTATCAGGAACGGTTGAGGGCCACAAGGCTAACAACCCTGCAAACAAGGCATGACAGGGCGGATATCATTGAAACTTTTGAAATACTAAACAATCTGGTGACTGTTGCCCCGGAAAATTTCTTCAAAAGGTCAAATGTAGCACAAGCAAGGAGCAACGGTTTCAAGCTCAATGCTGACCAAAACACACACTAGAAAGTGATGGAACGACGATGTTTCAGTCCGTCCTGGACCATTCTCGCAATCGACTTGAGACTTGAGGTCCAGGACGGACCGAAACGTCGTCGTCCCGTCACTTTGTAGTGTGTGTGGTTTGGTCAACATATTTCAGCCACGTTATTGTGACTCCTCGTCAAGCTCAATAAGCCATCTCAATAGGCTCAAAAATCTGTACACCAATTGATTGACAGTTGAAGAGGGACCAAAGAGCCAAAGCTCAACCCCCGTAAGCACAACTAGGTGAGTACAATTTAAGACTGAGAAACGAGATGCTTTTTACACCCACGTGGCTTTAAACCCATGAAACTGCCTACCCGCTGAAGCCGTAAATAACAAGACTGTTGAATTTCAAAATCAAACTAGAAAAGGTTATCAAGGCAAATAGGCGACCTTCGACAACCCACCGGCCTCATGTCCTCGTCGATGACAGGAAGCCCACTAGTGTTATTGGCTCTCAGGTAAATTCAGGTAAGTCTTTTGTTGCTCCAACTGTTTACATCCTTGTCAGCTGATTGGCGTCAGAAAGCAAGTACTGACCTTGGCGTAAGTTATCTTAAATGATATAAACTTCTGGAAAATAATTTTAGTACACATAGTGATATTTACTGCTAAATCTGCCTAAAAATGAACTTGGTGAATGGTTTTATAATCTGTTAGTTAGTTAAAAGAGGAGTATGTGGGAGCTAAAGCCGCAGCCAACGGACAGAAGGACAAAGACTGGGCGTCGACAAGGCCAGACTCCCTCACCTCCAGGTAATTCTCACCAAACACTCTAATGTCCAGTTCTCTCCTCTCTTTCTCTGTCCCTACGATGGCCACCACTTGTGGTAATGGTGCACACCGGGGCGAGTCATGCGTTCGTAATTACCTAAATACCTGTGTAGTTATAGGTGTCTGCTAAAGCATGTGTTGATATCAGGCATTGATTGATTTGTCACCGGTGGTGGCGTTACGTATTGGTCCCAGGATCTGGACCACAACGGTATTATAGCTAAGCGAGGATGGTAAAGTAGTACAGGGAAGAGGATTTTCATAAGCAGGTTCTCACCTAGTTGTACTCGCCAAGTTGTGCTTGCGGGGGTTGAGTTTCGGCTCTTTGGTCCCGCCTCTCAACTGTCAGTCAATTGGTGTACAGATTCCTGAGTATTTGGCCCTATTACCTGCTTCATGGGAATCTGGGAGTTCATTTACTTCCCAAGCCCGGCCTGAGGCCAGGCTTGACTTTATCTACATTTGAGACTGTATGGAGTCTGCCTCCACCACGTCACTGCCTAATGCATTCCATTTGTTGACCTGATTTTCCTGAGAGCAACTAACCCTAGTTGCCTCGACAAGGACAGGAAGCTGGTGGCTTGTTGAAGGAAGAGATCAAGACAAATGGGGGGACCTATGTGTATTTTCAAACTCAACATAGTTTAGGCAGTTATTGCTTTGGCGGGTAGGCAGTTCCATGGCTTAATAACCCTGTGGGTGTAAAAGCATCTCCTGTTCTCAGTCCTTCATTGTGGCTTGTTGAGCTTTAAACCATTGCTAATTATTTGTGTTACATCTGACCTTCTGAAGAAATTGTACAGATCAACATCCTCCAAATTGTTCAGTATCATAAAAGTTTCAATGAGATCTGCCCTGTCATGCCTGGTTTGCAGTGTTGTTAGCCCTGTGGCCCTCGACCGTTCCTGATACAAACTCTGATTAACTACTGACACTAAAAAAATTCTTTCTAATTGCTCTGTGCCTAATTTGGGTACTCGGTTTCCAACTGTGTCCCCTTGTTCGTGTTCCAACCATGCTAAATAGTTTGTCTTCGTCCACTACTCTGTAAATGCCTTTTGAGAATTTTGTAGATGGTGATCATGTCTCCCCTTACTCTTCTGTCTTCCAGGGACGTGAGGTTTAGCTCTTGTAGCCTTTCCTCATAATTCATACTTCTCAGTTCTGGGACCAGTCTGATGGCATACCTCTGAATCTTCTCAAACTTTGTCTTGTGTTTAACTAAGTATGGCCTCCAGACTGGAGCGGCATACTCCAAGATTGGTCTGACATATGTGTTATACAAGGTTTTGAATGATTCCTTACACAAATTTCTAAAAGTAGTTCTTATGTTGACCAACCTAGCATATGCCGCTGATGATATCCTTTTGATGTGGCTTTTGGGGACAGGTTCAGTGTGATATCAACCCCCCAGAACTTTCTCTCTATTTGACTCTTGCAGGATTTCATATCTCAGATGGTACCTTGTGTTGAGCCTCCTGCTGTTGAAAATTCCCGACACCTAAGTAACTTCTAGTGTATCAAGCTTTAAATGCTATTGTATCATTAGGATAATGATCATAAATTAGTGTAGTTAAGCATATGAAGAAATTCGGGCATCGTGAAATTGATTAGAAAATGCAAATTTGCCACGTCACCCGATCTCTGATTTTCTATAAAACTTGCATTAATTAATCCTAAAAAAAAAAAACAGTTTGGAGAACAAAATGGATAAAAGTGTTCCCCATTTGAATATAATTCAGGTGGGGGAACAGTCTGAATATAATTAAATCACTTAAGAAAATAAGCTCCTTCATCCCCTTGACCATAAATAGTCAAAAGCTGAACCAGGCGAGAGACACGTCTCTCATCCACAGGAAGTGGGGGAGGGGAAGAGATGCCATTTTAGACAACCAGCTGCCCTGCCTCAACACACGTTGACACAAGCAGAAGAAATCTTCCCGTTAGCCACACTGCTGAAGATGCTAGTCTAGAACCCTCAGCAAGACTACACTAAACATTTTGGAGTAATACGGTTTTGGTTTATAAGTTAAATATGTTATATGAGCCCTTGTATATATATTTTATAAATCGTTATGCAGCAGGTGCAGCCACCTGGAATGGGTAAGAATCCACCTATACTCCATAATTGTTCCTTTGATATAACTGCCTTATACTTGTTACGGTGTATTACTCTGTGGCCATTCGGCAGGTGAAGTTGAGAGGAGTAGAGTATCACCACAACAAGCAAACAAGCACGATGTCACAAGAGCCGCGCTGCATGTCTGCACAGCTTTCCCTTTCCCAGGAGGGGGAAGGGGGAGCCCCAGCCCCCACACCTGCACAGACATACAGCACGGTTTGTGTGACTTATGCTTTTTGCTTGTTTTCATTTGGGGAGTTTTGTCCACTAGTTGGTCTATTTTCGTTGTTTTAACCAGAATAGAGGTTTATTTTGGGGCGCTTATCTTTCTGGGTGCCTGTCCCAGTCAATGGCAGATATAGAATGCTCCAAATCCCATGTGAGCTTTTTTGTCGTGATCTTCTCCAACTAATTGGGCTGGATGGTAAAGCGACGGTTTCCCGTCATAAAGGATGATGTTCAATCCTCTATTATCCAAGTGGTTAAACACCTTTCCTTCGCCCTTGTCCCATCCCAAATCCTTTTCCTGACCTCTTCAAAGTGCTATATACAGTAGTCATAATGGATTGGTACTTTTTCCTGATAATTGCCTCCCCCTTCTCCATCACCTTGCATGGTATGAGTTAGGAAAACTGGCCTGTAATTCAGTGCCTCTTGCCTCTCACCCTTTTTGTAAGTGTTTGCTGCTCTGACAGCTTTATTTGCCTATTTTTCATTGCTGATATTTGGGATTGAGGCTATTTTGATGTTGGTCTCTTGTTGCTTATTGGATGCCCTTTTGTTTTTTGCCATGCTTGTTTGCCTGCATGTGTGATGCACAGCTGCCATTTTTTGTTCTTGTCCCTCTTCTGCCATTTTTCACAAGTGGGTCAGCCCAATCCTTATTTTCTGTTTTTCGGAAAATCCAGCCTTCTCTATCAAGGCGCCATTGTGAGTAAGTTTAGGAGCTACTGATGGACTCCTCTCAGAAATCCTGTGTTGAATAATAATAATAATAATCAAGTGTACTTTTGACCATAAGGAAAAGAAGATAGTGATTCAATTGTATAAATCCATTTAGATTACTGTATCCAAGCATGGAGCCTCCATCTTCTGAGCTGCTCTGGAGAAGGTGCAACACCGGGCAACAAAAGCAACCCATCCTCCTGTTTAGATAGTACCTATTGTGACAATCGTCAATAGTCAGAATTCGTACGTTCTTAGCTTTTAGATAGTAGTAAACTGACTAGTAGGGAATTCTTTAAAAATAAATGAAGCTGAAACACAAATTTAAATATTCCTAGGCCTGGTATAGCACATGTAAGTACTATATTAGGCCTCAGATATGATGTATTAGGCCTAGGGAAGTTAGGATAGGTTAGTTTAGTTTGTCAAAGCAACACAAGTAAAAAAAAATTGTTTTCCAGTTTGTCCAACTCAATAGTTCTGATTTTTACATTCTAATTTCATTGTCCGTCAGTATATATACTGTGATGTTCATCGTTACTATAAGTACTACAAAACAAGAGAATGGGCTGACAAAAGTCATTCCGGAACCAAGTCATCTCTTGTATCAGGGACGGTTGAAGGCCACAGAGATTACAACACTGCAAACCAGGCATAACAGGGCAGATCTCATTGGAACTTTTGAAATACAGTACTGAACAATTTTGATGGTGTTGATACAGACAGTTTCTTCAAAAAGTCAGATGTAACACAAACAAGGAGCAACGGTGCAAAACTCAGCAAGCCTCAATGTAGGACTGAGAACCGGAGATGCTTTTTCAGCCACATGGTTATAAAGCAATGGAACCAACTTCCCGCTAGCAATAAATGCCAAAACTGTGTTGTTTTAAATTTTACCTGGAAAAGATCAAGGCAAATGGGGGGAACCTTTGATAAGCCGCTAGCTTCCTGTCCTCATCGAGGCAACTAGGGTTAGTGGCCCTCGGGTAAAAAATCAGGAATGTAATGAAACTCCTTTTTCTGGTAAGCTTGCAATAGCTCCTTACTTATTTACTCCTTACCATGGGTTATGGGATTTTCCAGAGAAAGGAAGCAAGCTGATTGAAGCCCCAGGTGATCCGAGTTGTACTTCCCGTCAAGGAGGCCTGGTTGGAGACCGGACTGCGGGGACATTGATCACTGGAACCTTCAACAGGTAGGTACGTAGGGTATTTACCGTGTAATGATTGTTTGCTTTGTTAACCTCGCGGTGCCTATTTTTTTTTGAAGCAGATGATTGTTTTGTTTTATCTATACTGTACATACTTTCTAATTGGATTTCCCTAGTTTTGTAATTCAACTCTGATTTGCTTGCCTCGGCCAGATCCTGGTCCTGGTTGCCAGTAGGTGATGGTTGGGTCTCAGAAGCTCGGTGTGATGGGCTAATGCTTGGTACTTTGGATCATTTATGGTGTTAAGCTCAGCGAGCCACTAAGGGTCTGCCAGAAAAGGGTGTTTCGTTACATTCAACCCTTGATTTTTCAGGTACAATTTTGAAACCGTGTGGCCAAGATGGGAGTCAGTGTTACCAGGCACGAAATACTAGTCAGAGGAAAACCGACTGAAGTTTTGAGCCTCGGACAGTCCTTAAATGAAAATCCAGAAAATGTCATACTCATCATTCCAGGTTTGTTAAACATTTGAAATTTTAATTTATCTTTAACATTATATAAATCAAAATTGGTTTATGAACAATATTATAATAATGTTATTACTGTTTTCAAATAAATTTACATTAACTCTGTATACAGCATCTAAACTTTTCTGTTTTAATAATTCTCTCAGGTAACCCTGGAGTGGCTTCCTACTATGTCAATTTTATGCAGACCATCTATGCTAGCCTAAAAGACACACACTCTGTGTGGACCATCTCTCACGCGGGCCACTGTCACACCTCTCACATCTCTGCTTGGCCAGGTGAGCCCTGCAATAGCAGACACTTGATATTCACAAAGATTTTGGAAATAAGCTTATGCTACAGTAAAAGTTCAATGCTGTTTATTCTTATGGTAGGTCTGATTCATATAGTTTAAGGAGGAGGAGCTTGTCATTATTGCATTTGATAGATTTAGCTTAGGAAAGTCATATTCGGGGCAGAAACTAGTTGTGGGAAGCGAGAAATGTTGTAGTAGAAGAAAGTATACATGTATGGCATTTTCTCATTTATGGTATAAACAGCCCCTCCATTTACGAATTTAATTTGTAACCAGAGATGGTTCGTAACCCAAAAATTTGCAAGACGAAACAAATTTTCCCCATTAGAAATAATGTAAATTGAATTAATCCATTCCACACTCCCAAAAATATTAACTTCAACATACATTTCATACCTAATACATACAAATATTTAGTAATATAGTATGTACAAGTTATAGCTTACCTATATTGATGACTCTTGTTGTGGTACGAAAGAGGGTGAGGAGGAAGAGAGGTGTTAGTGTTTGGAAGGGGAGTCCCCTTCCATTACAACCTCAGGCACTGATGACTTCTCTGGGGTACTCTCTCTCATACATTTTGCAGGTATACCACTAGGAACTGGTTATGGCTCACTGCTTGCTTGTCTTATTAAGAATCTGTATAAAGACATTTGTTTTTCCCTACATTTTAGCACTTGTCTGTAGTGAGACATCACATTGTCATTAATAAGGTCAATGCAATGGCCTGCTAAAGCTTTATCTCTTCAGTAAAATTTGCAGTTCTTCCCATACTTCACACATTTTCTTAATTAATGAGGAAGGGACATCCTCTACTGTCTCTTCTCCCCTGAAGATCTGTTGTACTGCCTAGCTATATTTAGTTCAACAATCCGTGTACCATTTTCATGTTACGAATGATCTCTTGTTTTTCCTCTATGGTCATCCTCACATGTGTTTTCTTAGTTTGAACCTTACCACTGACTTTCTTGGGACCCATGGCATACGCGTATACATAATAATTACTTTTATGTTCAAAACCCAAAAAAGCAGAAAAACAATTCAATTTTTTACAAAGAATTCAAGCACGATCATCATTAAGCAGGAGGCACTGGTAAACTGAAGCGCGGGTGACCGTGCCACCAGGAACCATGCGTTCAGTCTACACATACGTGTACAGTATCAACAAACCACAACTCGAGGCAAAGTTTGTAACCCAATTCAAATTTTACGAAGAAATTGGGCTTGTACTGTAACTCTAAAAATTGTAAAGGGGGGCATTCGTAAGCCGAGGTGCCAAAGAACGCAAAGGAATGGGTTCTGTGTCATCTTGAAACTGAGGAATGCAAAAAACCCCATTTGACCTCCAAATGACTGCAGAAATGACTGGCAAAAGCATCCACATTCCCCTTTACATCAGGGACACATATACCAAGGGGATCAAGAATAATGAAAGGAACGCAGGTGGGGAGTGTGTACCATGAAAGGAATTTCCAGGCGCTGGTGGCAGGGCTGGCAAAGCAAAGTGAGGAATGGTGCAGCATGCACCACTGAGGCAGCATGCTTCACCTGGAAGATCAGCTGTCTGCATTGAACAGATAGTCACAAGTAGGCCCATGCTACCTACAGAGAGAAACACTTCTGCCACACAAGCTGTTTCAGTGTCACTTTGCTGTCCTGCATGCATCCATCCACGAGGGCACACTGAGATAAGAGTGGAGCCATCACTGGGAATGTTAGAAGTGATGAGCAACCAAAGCCTGGAGGCAAACTTGGGTGGCAGACCATCCAAGTTAAGACTGACCAGTAATTAGAAGGATTCTTGGTCAGCATCATTGCCTTTTCCACCTGACAACTGTATAAAGCTAATTAGGTTGGGTTAAAGACAGCAGGGACCATGAATGTCATTATAATTGATGTCCTGGGGGCCCGACGGCTGAGTGGACAGTGCTTGAGATTCGTAGTCCTAAGGTACCGGTATCGATCCCACACGGAGGCGGAAACAAATGGGCAGAGTTTCCTTCACCTTGATGCTCATGTTCACCTAGAAGTAAATAGGTACCTGGGAGTTAGACACCTGCTATGATCTGCTTCCTGGGGGGCGTGTAACAAAAAGGAGGCCTGGTCGAGGACCAAGCAGCAGGGATGCCAAGTCCCAAAATCATCTCAAGATGACCTCAAGAAGATAATGAAGGAGACTGCATATGGTCACTCCCCATGTAGTGGCTGGTGGATACTACTGCCGACGCAAAGGAACCTCCACCGAGGCACAGGTCAAGCATGGAAGGTGACGAGATTTGGGGGTCAGCACAGGTCAGTAAACCAGGTGGAGTTAAGAGTGTGAATGTGTGGAAGGACAGGAGTGCGCAGAAGAGGGGACTGCCCACTGGGTTATCGCTACATCAAGAAAGGTATTGTTGCCAGTGAAAGTGGTGCACATTGAAGCACCGAAGTCAACTTTACCATGCTAGTGGAAGGAACTTGGTGGAAGTAGTACATTAGTTCCACCTGAGTAACATTCTGGCATGGGTTGTATGCTGTCGCCACTGCACACCAGTGGCCTTTTACTGAAAAGTGATATGTAAAGAATTCCAGGTGTCCCTGCCAAAATGGATGGAGTCACATCTCCACTCATGAAATGCCATTCTGCACCAGGAGGACAAGTCCCCCACCTCCTTCCCCAAGGCAATCCTTCTGACAAACGATATGACCCAAGTCCATGAAGGACATGGCAGCAATGAGCCAGGTTTCACAGAGGCCCACCACTAGCAGAGAGGTGTCTGCTATCAACAGGCGAAGGTCTTGCATCTTCTGCAGTAGCAAGTAGGCATTCCAAAACATGAAGTGTATAGGAGATCTGAGAGCTATTAACAGTAGAGGATGGAAAGTATTTATGAGTAAGCCTTGGCATAGACTACACCCAGCAGCAACCTCTCATAAATGATTGAGAGACCTCCAACAAAGTGAATATGAAATTAGGAAGGATGGATGGCCAATTAAAGGTAGGGCACTCAAGGTTTCTAGTGGTGGAGACAAAGACAAGTGAAAAACTAGGGATTTCAAGAGCATGGGCTACTGGTTCATGGTCTTCGATACCGAAGACCTGGGTGGCTACCGTAGCTTCATGGTTAGAGAATGGTGTAGAGTTAACACCTGGGGGCCACCGAGGGCCTCAACAGAGTGGGAGACTGTGTCTAGGAGAGGAACATCAGAATGGATCAGGCAAATGGGGGGGGGGGGTCTTTGATGTTACAGAACCTGTGGGCTGGAGTAGGGTCTGGCGGACATGCTGAGTTGGACTAGGGACATATCCACAGGTTCCATAGGAAGATCTTCATGAGCCAAAAAGGAGTTGGCCAGAGAAGTATAGGTGACACTCTAGGAATGGCAGATGTGATGGTAACTCATGTCCACCAGCAACGGTAGGCATCATAGAGGTGGGGCTCAAATGCCAAGGCCCCACGGGAACACCATAGTGTTAGATTTAAAATATAAATATGGTGACAAAATTGTGGATACCCATGTTTGATAGCAATTCGTTCTGAAAAGTTGTTTCTATTTCAGATAACAATCATGTCTACGATCTTGAAGAACAAATACATCACAAGATAGCATTCATCCAAGACCACATTCCCCAGCAGGCCAATGTTACTCTTATTGGACATTCTATTGGTTGCCAAATCATACTCAAAATCCTAAAGTATTTTGAATCAAATTCTGAGGTAACAGTTGTCAGGAGTTTCCTCCTATTTCCTACAGTAGAGAGAATGAAAAGCACCCCCAATGGAAAGTGTTTTTGGCCAATGCTGAACTACTTACGTTGGTTTATTATATTCTTGACAGCTTGCCTATGTGTATTGCCAGTGAAGGCGAGAGAGAAAATGCTTCGGTGTTATTTCCGAGGCAGAAAAGTAGCAGACTGCAGTGTTCAGGCCACCATACAACTGTTTTCCCCCAAAGTGATACAAAATGTCTTGTGGATGGCTTACAACGAACTTGTGCAAGTTTGTGAAGTTGATGCAGAGACCATAAACAAACATAAGGATAAAATAGTATTTTACTATGGAGCCACAGATGGCTGGTGTCCACAAGTGTACCGAGATGAGCTCAAGTTAAAAGTTGAAGGGGTAAATGCTCTTCTCTGTAAGGATGGATATCAACATGCTTTTGTTTTGGAATTTTCAGAACCAATGGGGCAAAAGATAGTGGAATGGGTCAAGTCATGAAATGATATTGTAATGTTCGATTATGTTACGTTGTTGAGTAGATTAGATACACAGTGTTTAATGGGTTTTCATATTTATTTAGTCTTGGATACAGCAGTGTCTTAGACGTTGAGATGGAGCTTGGAGCAGAGCAGAGCTGAGTGAGGCCGGAGTCGTGGAGCTCTATGTGGGAGAGCGTTGTAGCTCGATGCGGTCCTAGTCTGCTGTCTGTTCTGTGTTGAAGCTGTAGCGTCTTGGGGTCGGTTAGAACTGCACATGCCGAGTGCTACATTCTTGACTGGAAATTGTACTGTCGGCTATTCGCAGTTCGCTTGCTTATATTCTGTGACTACACCTCGGCTTCCTCCAACCAGGATGGAAAGAATGTTACCTGTAAATAGGGATAGGATTATAGCTTATGTAGTTAGTGCTAATTAGTTATCCCATTAAGATACTGAGAGACTGTAGTGAGTATATTGTTTGTACTTGCTACAATATGAATTTTAAAAATTGGGTGTCCTTCAAGGAATATGCACTTTTATATTCAGCTTCACTGGTGGTCATTCTTATTTACATAAATGCAGTTAAAACTGAAATATTATTATATTTATTCTATGCACATTTCCTTTATACTGTGTTATTTTAAACAGTATTATGTATGTATGTGTGTGGATGGATTGTGCAGAACGTTCCTCACACACTTGAACAGCTCACCGTTAGTACACACAGTAAACAGCCATGTTCAGAATATAGCAAGCTAAATGTATAATAAGTGGCATCTGTTTTTTTAATATCAGAGAATATCACAGATTTCTGAGTACAGCATAGTGTTTCTATGGTGAGACTGTGTGGCAGACAGAGTATGCCTCTGGTAGGAATGGGTGGCAGAATACTGAGTATGTCTACAGTATAAATGGGTGGCAGACTACTGAGTATGTCTACAGTATGAATGGGTGGCAGACTACTGAGTATGTCTACAGTACGAATGGGTGGCAGACTATCGAGTATATCTCTGGTATGAATAGGTGGCAGACTACTGAATATATCTACAGTAAGAATGGGTGGCAGACTACTAAGTACTGTATATATAGTGTGAATGCATATAAAGAAGAGCATTGTCAGTATGGAAATGGCTGGTTCCATGTTTATTGGATAGTGTATTGCTTTCATGATTATTTTCCTGTACTGTAGTTGAAAAAAATGTGTAGCCTTTGGAACAATACTCGTACCCTTTGCCATATAATTATATATAGCTGGATACATATACAGGATGCGTTCACAAATATACTTAAGATTTTATACAATTTCAAAATTACAAGAATTTTTGGATTCGATGTGCTAGATGTTGAACAATAAATAAATAAACTGTATGCATAATCTATGTGTACAAGTCAGTGTGAGCATTCATATGATGGGTGAGTAATCAATTGTACTCTACTGTATTTGTAAATTGTACTCTACTGTTCTTTATATGGAGTGGGAGATGCATCATTTTCCTACCCAATGCTGCTCTCTAAACTTTTACGTTGATTTCTCAGAACTCTATTGCTGTGTGGATCACTGTTTACAGTGTTGCCCGACTGCCCAGTGAGAATTGACGTTCACAAAGACATTCCGTGAAAATGAATGCTAGATTTTGTGTGTGTTAAGATACAAACACGGTTACCAGCTGGGTGGACAGTGCTTCGGATTGGTAGTCCTGAGGTTCCGGGTTCGATTCCCGGTGGAGGTGGAGACAAATGGGCAAAAATATTTCTTTCACTCTGATGCTGCTATTCACCAGGGTAAACAGTAAATAGGTACCTGAGAGTTAGACAGCTGTTACGGGCTGCTTCTTGGGGGGGGTAGGTGTAACAAAAAGGAGGCTTGGTCGAGGAACGGGCCGCGAGGATGCTAAACCCCGAAATCATCTGAAGATAACCATAAAATCTGGCTATATGGTACTTTTTTGTAATGTAATATTTTGTCATTTTATTAGCAAGGTAACTTAAATATAAAAAGTTACTACTGTATTGCAAATTGCTTAGCCTAAAGAACACTTGGGGTCCAGTTCTTCTGAACCCGTTATGTGACTAACATTTTTGCCACTGCCAACTTGATGGTTATGGGGCCCATGATATAGTGGACCATTTTTATCACCAGTTAGTTATGTTTTAAAGAAAATACTTTAAATGTGTTTATATATCAATGTTTAAGATTAACATTCCATGTTTATACTCTTTGAGCAATCTCATGAAAACTTTTATGGATAGTTATGTGTTTAAAGAAGTTTTAATGTTGTACTGTGTATGATACCAGTGTAGTTAATGTACTCATTTTTAGTTGAGCTCTGAGTTCCTTCAGTATAAAGAAGATTATGCTGAATTTTCTTTTATTTTCTATGCCTGTACTAGGTGAACATTGAAAGATGGTTCTATGATTATCAGTTAACGATGCTTCTTGGCTTTCAACCCCTTGCATTTTTATGTTAATTGAATAGTGAAACAAATACAGCTTGATTATTTAATGAAATGGAAGCAGTGTCCTGTTAATATTTGTGTTTTGTGTCACATTTCTGGGGGGAACTATCCAGGCTGATGTGTATATCATTAGACTTCAGCATCAGTCAGTGTGAATGGAGTTCTAGGCTTACCGGGGACCATGAGCCAGAACCTGGCCCCCTCAGAGAGGCAGGAGGAGCAATGGCCTATAGAAATGCACATGTGATTTGGAGCATTCTGTGTCTGCCATCGACTAGACCAGGCACCCAGAAAGGTAAGCGCCTCAAAACAAGCCCTTGTTCTGGTTAAAACGACTGAAATAGACAAACGAGTGGACATAACTCCCCAAATGAAAATGCACAAACGAACATGACGTCACACAAGCTGTGCTGCATGTCTGGGGCTTTCCCCTTTCCCCAGGAGGGGGGAAGCCCCCAGACCCCTGCACCGGCACTGGAGTTATCTCTGAACTCCAGTCTGCCCTGACTCTGTGGTTCTATGGCAGCGGGCGCAGATGACATTCATTATGAGATGCTTTGCCATCTCCCTCCATGTGCATTTCAGTATTTACTGAATCTGTATAACCTTATTTGGGAGTCGTTGTCAGTCCCTGAGGACTGGCTTGAGGCGGTTCTTATCAGTGGTAGATTACCTGTAGTTTCTGTAAATGCACTCAAAAGTACAGTAGTTCTTTTCCATATGGTTATTTTTGAATAATTGTATTGTTTGACATTTAAATATAGCATATAAAATATATTTAACAGGGAATTCAAAAGAAGCCTAAAGGGGAAAGATACAGGTGCTGAAAATGCATACTTTATTCATTCATGTCTAGCAATTCTGTGTAAAACTGCCATGACAATCATGATCAAAGAAAAGATACTAAAAAATTGTCTAATTATTTTTTAGGTAGACTATTTTTATAATAATACTTTGAGCAGTGTTGTGATGATAAAGCTAATAGGAACATTCTAAAATTACGTACAATTTGGAGATTATCTAGTACAGTAGTTACTATTTTATACTGTCAAATGTACTGTGTCAGCTATTTTACCACTATGTTAAGGGGCAGAAATTATCTATCAATTTCTGCAATATGTCTGAGGCCAATGACAGTTTAACAAGAAACATTACTGCAGTAGAATGCATTCACAGGTAGCAAGTCAGGAAACTATGTATAAAACCTCCACAAGATTCATTGCAACAATGTTCTGTTTCCAGCAAATATATTACCCCTTACATCTAAATAAAAGAAATTGTTAAAATATAGTTTGCATTACTATATATAAGGAAAAGTATGAATAACCCAGTTCTCGGGGCACAGAAATGTTGTATGAAACGGTGCCATAAACAATGTCGTCAATAACTAATATAGCTATACAACCCAAACATTTGAGATTGCATTACTACAGTTCAGAATTTTATATAATTACCTTAAAACTAATTATATACATTGAGCTCAGTGTAACAGTATCTATCCTCAAGTACATTGCACAAGTTGATGTGAACATGTGCACATACTTTTCAATCTGATTTAGTATATCGAGATAGCCATCGATATAATGAAGATTAAAAATCCGAATATTACTATAAATATGCCTTTGTCACTCAGGTCTGTGAAAACAAAAATATATCGGAGAAAGAGAGTGAGAATAGATTGGTGAAAGTCACTTATACTTACAGCATCTAAAGATCACTGGTCCTTGTAATCCATTTTGTAAACACCTTGTAAACACTTTTGTCCACCAGGGACAGAATCTGCATCCATTTACTTTACGGATGTCCGGCAGGGACGCATGTTGCGTCCAAAATTAAAACATGTTAAAATTCAGTTCTTTTCCCGATAATTATGGGACTATTTTTAAAATGTGAGCCTTTAGATTGCGAACAATTTGATACCAGAATGAATGATGTAGCATGAAAATTGAGGTGAGAAAACTGAAGAGTATACACATTTTAGTGTGGCCGCGCGCTCATGCAAAATGCTCGGCCCACCTTGGGGTAGGCTGGGGCGCACACGCCAGGAACACAAGTGTTAAGCAAATCCTATTATGCAAAAAATTTAATGAATGTAAAAATTGGCACAATAATATTTAACCCATTAGTTACAAATTAATTGTAAACAAATTCACTAGATCAGTGTTCATTTAGAATTGTTTAAAACTTCCATTGCTAACTACTACTTGCTTAACCCCTGGAAGGCGCTTGCCTTAATAGCCTTCAACACCTCCAGGTGCAAGAAATAAAAAAATAATTTCTTTTTTCATCTTATAAGTGTTCATTTGTGTTCCCTGATCACGGGAAAAATAATAAAAATCGTAGGTGACATTTTGGCCACAATAGGGCGAGAAAGTCTGGCAAAACTGAGGTGTTTTCAGTGTAAGCATCCTGTAGCGGTCTGCTCCACCAATGCTGACAGGCAGGAGTTGCCACAAAGATATTGTTACCTAATTATTTTAATGTCTATGATTGATTTTTTCTCCATTTTTTTGCAGTATTATTATTCAATAGTGTGTAGTGTGATATATTTATATAGTAAAATGTGTGAACCAACTGTATAACTAAGCTGGAATGGTGTCCAAACAACATAGTGGCCACCATACACTGCATGACGTGACACAGCAGTTAGCAGACAACAGACCTCAATCCCTCACCAAAATGGCTCCTCCCAGCATACTCCTTTTGCTGTTATTTCACTATATACACACATTATATATAGGTACCTGCATGTTTTGTTCACCACAGCGAACCACTAAGCTGGTATGATGTCCAAACAGCATAGTGGCCACCATGCACTGCATGACAAGTCACACACATCAGCCAGCAGACGTCAGCCTCACGCCCTCACCAAAATGGCTCCTCTGAACATAATCCTTTTGCTGTTATTACACTACAGTATATACAGATGTTTTATATAAGTAGCCACATTTGTGTTCACCATAGTGAACCACAAAGCTGGTATGGTAAGTTCAGACGATAACATGTTGCTACACAGTCAGCAGACGATGCCACCTCTCACTCACTCCCTCACCAAGATTACTCCTACAGCCATACTAATCACATCACTAATTCTCACCACAATCCTGCTATTATCAGAATCCTGGTCACCAAATCCTGTAAATGAATAATTTTCCACAAGTTTATTTTGTAAAGGAAAACGAGAAGTCGTCTGAAGATTCTTAGATGGACGAAACAATGGCAGTGTGCTGTGGCTAGCGCTGTGAACATCTTTAACAGCATAGTGTTCACTGATATCTGAACATTGTACACAGTCTTTATCATAGTCAGGTTTTTCTGTAATACTATCATGGCTAAATAATACCAGTTACATATATATATTTTTACATTTAGGCAATGCTGTGGTCACAAGCTGAACAGTAGTGCTGTTAGCTCATGCTGCGTGCACCAGCCATGGTTGCTCACTCACTACCGAACCTTCACACTCAGGAATGTTGCCCACTTTTTTTTTTTTTTTTTTTTTTAAATATGTTTACTAGAGCCCTGAGGAAGCTGATGTGAACCCCGTGTAGCCGCGGGACTTAAATCTTACACGGTATTCCATTCATAACTGTGGTGCGCCATTCCGCAAACGTTGTTCACCCCAGCTATAAATGTATTGCGCCCTGTAAGGGCTAATGTGTACCAAACTCTTTGAAATGCTGTTTAACTATGGAAATAAGGCTTCAAATAAACTAAAGAACAATATTACATAACCTGTTAATTAGTATTTTATTGAAATTAAAATTTCAGGAATTTATAAAATTAAAAAAATAATCGGAAAATAAATACATATAGCCAGGGATACACTTACAATATATGAGATAAAGACAAGAGTTGAAGCGTACTTACAGTACAGTATATACACCACCACCACCACCTGTTAATATTTATTCCACACACACGACTGTAGATCAGAGTGAAGTTTGAGAAAACCACGTTGGTATACTGGCTAATTACAAGCATATTGTACAATACAAAGTATTTTTTAATGGTGTTTAAATTAATGCATATATAAACTATGTACTTTGAAACTAAGTACAGTACATCTAAAATGTATATCTAATTTGACAGTTGTTAAATTAGTTTTCATTTAAACAGTGACGGCACCCGAGAACCATGCTGTTTTACGAATATTGATTTTACATTGACTGCATCCGAGATCCACACTGTCTTACAAGTATTAACTTTCTCGGATGCTCTGTACAACTGCATAAAATAACAATACTACAGTGATACATGTACACGTTTAATGGTAATACTGTACAGAAACATATACCCCTGTTATGGCAATACTTCAAGAACATGTTTAATGTGTGCTATGGAAAAAATATTAACATTTATTGTGATTCAATTCTCCCTGTGTGTGCATTCTCCTAGTACACAAGTATAAACCATGAGATAACAAAATATGACATGTATTACTGTATTATCCACCAAACTACCACTACCAATAGTAAAATTAAGCAGGGATATTTCAAGGAATGCAAAAATATATTTTGTCGAGATGAGACTATATATACACAATACTAGTAGCCTCGGCTAACAATAGATCCTATTTAACTAATACCAACTAGTAAGAGGAAGATCTGAGACATATACACAGTATTAAAAAAAAAAAAAGGGGGGGGGGGGGGGGGGGGGGGGGACAAAAAAGTTCATTCAGGATTTAGCATGAAAGATATGTCTTCTACTGCAAATATTTGTGCAGACTATTGAGAGCACCGTGTTAAGTCGTGTGACCCCGACACATTCACTTACATCAGGCATAATTGGGCCAGAATATTATTGACAAGCCTAAAAATTCAAACTTTGAAGGCATTGTGAAATCATGAGTGTGTTCACCTTAAATGTACCTTGATGCAGCTTACATATTCAGCAAACAAACTAATGCTGATATCACATTATTTGTTACACATTACTTAAATACACCTATAAATTGAAATTTTAAGCAAGTTAATAACATGCTAACTGCTAAAATTCTACATGCACACAAACATGCAACAATGTACTAAATTTTAACACATGTAACCATATATACTCTTCTCACAGTAACCTGTCTACACAAGTTTATTACATATTCAATGAGTTGAAAATCCAAACTATATTCCATTCTATTATGATTTCAAAACCACAGGACTGCATCATTTTGGGTAAAAAATATTAGATTTCAGACATGACAGACCTCTAGTTATGGAGACAGTAGCACTATACTAGGGGACATTGGTATCAACACTCCATTATTCAACTATGATATTTTCATAAAATCCAAATGTCATGCTAAACAAATCACAAATGTCTACTTTTTTTCCCCATCATATAGTTTACACATTTATAAGAGCTACAAGTTTAAGCCTTTATCATTGTGTTCTCATGTCATCTTGCCAAAAGGTTTAGCAATACCATACCATATTAAAATTAAAATGCTACAAAACTAAAATGGCCTAACCCCTGAATTCAAAAAGTAGATTCCAACATTTTCCATTCCTTACAGTAACACTTAAAACATTATCCAATTTAAATGAATCTCTCAAACATTCTGACTTACCCCATGGCTTTCATAAGGCAGAGCATTCTTTAAGTTTCCACTTCTAATAACACTTGCACATTTTAAACAGGAAATCTTATCTCGGTAGACAATGGTCCGAGGCATTTCTATACAAAGCCATTTCCAGTTTGGTTGATTGCTTTTAATAATTTAATACTTCAAGAGAGAATCTACTACAATTTATACTACGTTGCAATTGTACAATAGGGCTTGGTACAGAGGAATGATTAGTTTTGTTGCCACCACCTACTCAGTTATGGTAACAAATTGCATATTAACATCCTATAACGCAAAAAAACTATGCTGACATATTGTCATGTAGTTTAGAACTCTCATTTCTTCCCCTGCTGTAGATTTAATAAGTGCATATTTCAGTAGCTACAGCTTCTTTAATCTAATTTATTGTGAAAATAAATGTTTAAAAGATTAAGCATTAATGTTACAAGTCAAATGTAAGCAACAAGCTTCCATCAAAGGATAGCAACAAATTACAAATGCTGTAGTAGAACATGAGAATATACAAAGTTACTTTTATAATAGCTAAATGCATTCTATGTAAACTATGGCTGGTTATTAAAATCTGCCACATTACGGAAAAAGCAGTCGATAACATGAAGATACATGAAGTACCACAATCTCTAGCTGGGAATTGTTGCAATAATGTATGGTGTAGATGCCTACAAGGTTATAAACCCTAAGAGTCCAGGTCAAAACACACAAATTGGCTTGCATAATTTAGTTTAACCCTTGAAGACACCCCTGGTAAGATATTGACAAGACCATTATTCTCCAGGTAGAACAGTCCCTATGTAGTTGAAACAGTTCATTACTCCTGAAGTTTCCAAATCCATCACAGTCAGTACTCCCATTCCCAGACAACTATACTCTAGCTAAATCGATGCCCCAAGAAAAAATATTCATTTTTATCTATGGGCACTTTACTGTAGTATTGAACAAATAATTGCATTACTTCTTAGCATAGAATTACTGTTCTTGCATACAGCAGCCATAAATAATATTTGTATTCTGAAAATGGACTTATTCAACTTTCATCCTTAAAATCTATTTACTCATAAAATATTAAACTACATATCACATAAAATATCAGATTAGTCCTGTTTTAGGCAATATATCACAATGAATACATGAAAGGTTCATTTAAAAGCTTGCCTAATATTATATCTACTTTCTACCAGGTATCACAATTTTCAGTCTTTGTTTTTAATTGTAGAATAAATATGTTTAGGAAAATCTAAAAAATAAAACAGTATAGTAAAAATACTTTGAGTTAAAACCTATAATACCTTAACTGCTTTTGGTCAAGTTCAACAACTCTCTCCACAAGGCTCATCTTCTGGCCAGAGAAACTTGTCTTGCAGGGAGAGAATGTAGGCCAAGGCAATTTAAGTGAGGTATAATGAAAAAGTCACAAGACTAATCCCAAACTTCAGGAATTTAAACCCCACAGTATAACCTTGCGATCTTCACTGCCGGTCACCAGATGGAGATTGTCGGGACTCACTGCTAAACATGTAATAGGCCCTGAAATTGAGAATTCTGATAATTACCTTAATTATAACTAGCAAATATTATATCAAGTATAAGTTGACCATTTTGTGTGACACATTCGCTTTGCAATTACATGACAAAAAAGGAATAACATTGTTAGAAATCACCTTTGCTAGATTTTTTGACCAAGATACTTATAGTATCAAGAAGCCAGACACCATATGAACATAAGAATAAAGAACACTGCAGAAGGCGTATTAGCCCATAAAAGGCAGTTCATATTTATATCCCCTAAACTTATTCATTTATACTGTGGGAAATAATTTCCACAACTTCAATTATAAAATATTAAATTAAATCTTTATGAGAGTTACTCTCATAATTTATAACTGTGTGGTAAATCAGCCTACACCACCTAGGTGATGCCACCCAGGCTCACACCACAGTAAACAATCCAGAAACTGAACGGATCTCTTAATTATATTTTACAGGGTATATGGTCAGAATAAATTAACCAGTTCTTAATCAACATTCACCAAAAGGAGGGGCTTTGTACTCCAAATAATTAAATAACACAAAAGAGGCTTTCTCCCACTAGATGTTGGGAAAGGAGGAAGCCATTACTCTTGCTCATCGTTGCTCAGAGTAAACCGATGCTCAAACTGTGGACGATTTATGCCATAACTATAGCTCAGCTTGTTGGTTTACAGCTGTTCTACACGCCCATGTTCAACATAGATTAGCTCCGACCCATGCTTAACCTCTGTGATGCGCTACATTTATAGTGACATTCTGGGGGTGCACCAAAAATCAAGTGTTCAAAAAAAATCTTTGTAAAATGTTAAATTCCCTTCCTTGAACATGTAAATGTAAAAAAAAAATATATATAACAAATTCCACTTACTTTGGCTGTGGGGACGTAGAGAAAGTGGGGTGTGACGTCATCACGGGCTATTCACCCGTGCATTAAGCTCCCAGAGGCAGTCGCACAGGCCATTCAAGCCTTGCGAGTTGCCACATATACATTTACATTAATTTTTTCTGTGTATTTTCAATGCTTTATAATTATTTTTTTTTATTGTATATGATCCACATTTGTGTCCTTTACAATATATATTTATAGTTGAACATTCATAATGTTCCATGGAACTGTGATATGTCAGTAATGTGTCCACAAATGTTCATTGGTGCAATATTACCTGTTCAATATTCAATATATTTAGAATATGTACACTTTCACACACTATTTATACAGTCAGACATTGTATTACACACAGTACTTCAGAAGTGAGAGATAATCAAAGAAGCCGTCACCTGGTACGGCATTCTGGGAATTTTTTCCAAGATGGCTGCCTATCACTGGAGGGAGCCAGGCACCTGAGAAGCAACAGAAACCTATCCCGTGACATGTACCTGTAGAACATGGATGATGGAACAAGGCTGTCTTTGCTCCAATAATCCTGAATGACGTGTTTCTCGGAGTGCTTCATCATCATGTCCAGTGCGAGAAACACGTATATTTCATCAATTGTGGTGTCCTTCCATCGCGTGAGGCGTGAGGCAGGTAAAATGCCAGCGTCTATGAGGCTGTGTGCGTATCTGTTTGTCTCCGTCACAAGATGGGTCATGAATTCGTCAAAATATGCCAGGAAATAGTGTATTTCTGCCATATCCTCACCTGTATATGGGAATAATGGTGTCACACCAACATCAGTACCATCAAACGTTGGTATTTGTGGAACAAATGTGACACAATCTTCCCACACAAGTACACCCGGGGATTTGGTTTTGGTGCCAGCACTACGGCCAACACTACCACGAGCACCAAAAATACAGCTATGTCGTCTAGTGCTGGAGCTGCGCGAAGGTATGGTAGATGAGGTTGATCTACGTATCGTAGGCCTACCACGAACACCTGATGTAGAGGGGCCACTGTCATCATTGTCCTGTTGCTGCGAGACACGCTGCCGCGACGTGTTGCTGAAGCAGCAAAACCCCGCCTGGTAACACCCTCGCTGCTCGTATTCGAGTCATCCACACTACTCGTATCGGAGCATATGTCACTGAAGCCCGAGAAAGATTCATGCAAGTACTATCACTGAATAAACTTGCGTCAAGGGGACACACACGGTGGTGGTGGTGATGATAACGGTGTTTACCCCGGGCAGTGAGGCGCGTGTACCGTACACGCTCACAACATCATCCACCTCAGTCTCTCCCTCACTCGTATCAGACCTCTGTGTAAGGTCTTTCTCTGGATCATAGTCTAAGTCATCATCCATAACACCGTCATCATACAAAATGTCTCGGGTATCTCCTCAGAGAGTCGTTTTCCATGACCGCTGGTGACCGTGGAGCAGGAGCTCGTAATGCTTCAAACACGGTTGCTGCTTTGAAACCGAGGCTCCCCACAGCCGCATGGCATGCTGGGATTTTTTTTCAAGATTGCGGACGATCACTGGGGCCCCCAGGCATCCATTTTGTAACCGCGTCACCGCGCGCCAGTTTTGAATGGAACGCGAAAAATATAAATACCCGGAGGCGCGTTGCGCAGTTCAGTGGTTGATGAAACTGGCCCGTATATTTTATTTTAGCCAAGATCAAAACTAATGTTCTCTTGCGAGACAACTGCCATCCTCTGCATATCTTTGATTTCTAATTTTGTGCATGTGGTAGCAGATGTAGCACTTGCATTTTAAGATATCACTAGATAAACACCCATATATTAACTAGCCTACATACTGACAAAATAAATAGCAATAAATGAATAAATCTGGGTTATCCTTCTAAAGCATATCCAATTCCTTCTTTCCGTAGATGTACAAACATACCATTGTGTGCGGGAAATCTCTTTATCACCAAGCCAGTTCCCATATCAAACATGATGATGTCGCCACTCTCTCCACCTGCAATCACCAGACGTCCTTCCCATGCCACACACCTGTCAAACAAACACTTTTTCACAAGTGTGCACTTCTTAATCCCTCATGTGCCTTCAGCAGCAACTCATTTTAAAAAACAAAACTTACATCGATTATAGTTAAAACTATAATTTTTTAAATTGCATGCATTTTATTCAAGTTAATTTTCTTCTTGAATCTGACAACACAATGGCCAGATCTCAACAAGGACAACTGCCAACCAAAAATATATGAGTTAATCAAAATGACATATGATAATGTGCATAAACTCCAGCCAGCAAACAAACATACAGTAAAGTACGCTTATTGAGAAAATTATGTGTGTTATCTACTACTTAACATGATCAGCATCAGTCAGATCAGATTGTGTGTTTGAAAGAATTAAATTACACCTAATGCCACTGAAAGAGAAGAGTTAAGGTTGCCATGATTACAACAGAAAATTATTTGGACATTAAAAAGTCAAAAAGAACAAAGTATTTGGAATTCATGGTACACAAGAGAACACAAATTGAAACTTTAACAGTAGTGTAACCAAATGAAGCAACACGCACATTAGAAATAAAAAATTCAGTAATGAACAAATGGAATGTGGTATAAAGTGAAGTGGTGGATGCAGATACTGTGCACAGTTTCAAATGCAGATATGGCAAAGTCAAATAGGCTTGGCAGCCTGTACACCAGTTGACTGAGGACCGAGAGGAAATTACTCCTGCTCCAACCAAACCTAACCCACACCCATTCCTGGACCACCCACTCTTGCCTCAGCTTACACTTGTCCCCTCCAACTCCTGCCCTTACCAGTTTTGTGCCTTCTTGCTTAATGCCCGCATGCTTATGCTCGAAGGTGTTAAATTTCGGCTCTTTCATCTTGCCTCCTAATTGGAGCAGGATATCATTAATGTGTAACTTTTTTACTCTGCTGGGTACCTCCCTGCTGAGTTCCTAAGCTTCTAAAGATCACTCATGGTTCTTTCCAAAGATTCAAACTCAACATTGTGGGAATATAAGGCATCTTGCCCTGAACCACTCCAAGACTGGATAGCTAGGTAAAATGGCTACGAATTTGTTTGAGTTGTTAACCAGTTACTAATCAGCAACCAGTTGCTGATTAGTTGGAGTTCTGAGGAAGGTACTGGATGTCAAATACCTCTTCTTCTTTCCTGGTGAATATTAGATCCAGTACTGACAGAACATCCCCTTCCCTCATTCTTGTGGTCTACTTGACGTGTTGATACATGATTGTCTCCAAAATGAGGTTCACAAATATGCCTGTCCAAATGTCCTCCGTTCTTGCCTCGTAGGCCTCCCAGTCTATTGCCTTAAAGTTGAAGTCCCCCCAGTACCAACAATCAGGATTTATCTTTGTCAGCTCCTACCATAATCTCTCTCAATCATAATGTGCACAATATTTTATGTTTAGAACACTAAAACACTGTTTTGCTAATATTACACTATATTATATATACACACACACCCTATATATCTATCTACAATTGTATGCACCACGATGAACCAATAAGCCATTCTGGTAGGTGTGGTAATGAAATCAAAGCAAAGCATAGTCCCACACTGAGCAGACGACAGCACCTGATGCAGCAAAATGCCTTCAATATACTAGTACACCACTCTCTAACCACAACTGCTATTATCATCAGATTCCTGTCACTTAATCATGAATATGAATAATTTTTCTACAAATATATTTTCTAATGGAAGATGAAGTCCCATTCCAAGAAGCATGATGAACAAAACCGTGACTGTGTGGTGTGAATGTATGCCTCATTCAACAGACCAGCAACCAGAAGCCTGGTCAGAGACCAGGCTACAGGGACATTGATCCTCAAAATCCACAACAGGTAGTCAGGTAGTCTCCTGCTGTGAACTTCATAATTAGCATTGTCTTCACTGATATATCAACCTTTACTAAAAGTCTTTATCAGTCAGGATCTTCTATGACACTAGCTTTGAAAACTAATCGTATCAATAGTAAACAGTTTTATTAATATGCATTTATTAATAGTTTTAGTAATAAACTATGGTAGTATTAAATAGACATACCTTACATTTTCTTGCAGATTATGCACACAAATTTTTGTGCCTTGATAAGCTTCAACGATGGTCAGATTTCCGTCATCCCCACCCGTTAATAAGCGATCGTCGGCTGCGCTCCACACAACTGCATTCACACCCCCTTCATGACCTGAGATTTACCTTTATAATTATGATGCATTTAGTGTTGTAGTAACATCCTCTTCATAAATATATATTGTGCCTAAACCAGCTCTACTACTGCTCTAAATGCCCATCACCACCAATACCTGCATTTAGTCCAAAATAAACAAGAAATGATCAGTTTTGAACCCACTAATAACCAGAGTATATCATATCTAAAGATAACTTATCTGATTAATTAAAAATCCTCACTGATGGTACAGATTTGTACCCTTATTCAAAAACTTTTTTAGGTACCATTCAAAAGTTAATCCATGCACATGCTCCTACCACTGCCCAAAATAATTTTTAGAGATACTGTAGTATAAACTTAGGTATAGTAACTAGGTATGGTAGATACACCTTGGTTAATCCAAATATGTACAGTACCATATTATGGCAATGGTAGTGAAAATTGAATACAAATGTTAATATTGTTTTTGTTATAACAGAGCTCATTACATACTACTATCTTATTTATCATTCAGCCTTGCCAGGATAGGAATGAAAAAGAATTACAAGAGAAGATGGTACAGAATGTTTATGAAGTCCACAGAGCAAAATACATGCTCTAAACATCATTCACACTGGCACAAAACACTGAGCTACGTACAATTTAATTGATGTACAAGGTCACCATCGGGCAGCAGCCAGATGGTCAATATGCCATCCTGGTTGCCAGTGGCTAGGAGCATCCCTTCTGGGTGCAGGGCCACGCACAAGATTGGAGAATCATGATCCATCTCACAGATAATGTTCTGACCAGCAGATAAAGCGGACATCATGCCACCTCTCGTGTTTTCTTCGTGTCTTCGACCAACCCCCGCACTACCACGTACTGACCAAGCCCTTGCAGTGCAGTCCCACGAACCTGCAAAATAATTTTTTTTTCAAATGCAATCATTAAAGTTTATGAGACTTTGATTTCAGGACAAGCTAATCTACTTTTCTTTAAAAAAAATTATTTTGTTTACTCTGCAATACATTTACTTCATAATTATATTTAAACCCAGAATAAGTTACCACAGGCCCCTCACAAACTATGAGGGAGAGTTCCTGGAAAACTATGCGAATACCGAATCTGCGACTCGACATGGGAAAATATAGGAATAGGTTCCAGAGACCCGCAACAATGAAAAAAGAAGAAACCATGCATTTAATATACAGTTATCATGCAAAATAAACCACCATTGACTGTAATGAAATGCCTGTTTCTGGGTAAGTTTAGTGACTAACTGAAGTTATCTCACCAAGATGGCTTGTAACTACTAGATCACATCATTCATTAAGTTCTATTTAGTTCACATCATCATCATTTGTCGAGTTCTATTTTTGAATATCTGGCACCGATGCCCTACTGGGGACCAGTACCAGAACCTGGCTCCCCCCCTCACACAGGCACAAGGAGCAGGTGATACAATGCCACCTCACTGGGAAAGGGTCCAGAAAGTAAGTGAATCAATACAGACTACTACTGGCTTTAAAGAACCCAAAACCTCAAAACTGTCCCATAAACTCCCCTAACAATGTAAATAAATGATCAGATTTCTCAATGAAGTGTGTGATTGTTTACACCACCCTTCCCACTAGTTGAAGGATGGAGAGGGGGGGGATTCACACTGTCCACTGGCTAATGCCATCAATTCTGAAGCAGATGTAAACAAAAAACAATTGATGACCTGGAAAGAAGGAGGGGCAATCAGGAAACCACTGGTGCTCACCCAGAAAGAGGAGTCTCGTTACATTCAATGCTGGTTTTCTGGGGGGAACCACCCTTTGTGGCTCCCTGAAGGTAACCCACCCACAGAGAAGAAAAACAAGGACCTCACCCAGGAGAAGGAAAAATTGCAGGCAGTCATACGGAAGGAGAGAATCCAGGTTGAGAGACACGATCCAAGACAACACAAGCACGATGGGGCCTGGGAACAATAACCAAGTACTGGGCCACCTGAACCCTGTTAGACCACCAAAACCATTGCACCTGAACATCAGCCCAGGACATGTTAGCAAAAGCTGCCACAAGACTAGCATACTGCTGAACATCAAGGGCGCAGTGGTAAACTGCAGCATGGCTAGACTTGATGATACTGCAGATAACTTGAGAAATGAGCCTTGGAAAAAGGAACCAAAGAAACTGGATCAGGCCACAAAGCATCACCGAGACAGAATCTGTGGCACAAAGACAGAAGCGGACAGCAGTTACTGGACACAACACACAATGCACCCTCCAGCCTAAACAACCAAACATCCACCACTAAAGTACCCCTTTGGAAGCTTGCCAACTCATCCTTTGCCAGAAATGGAGATGGCTGCAAATTATCATAATGCCAACAGTGCCAAACATGCAAAAATCACGCCACCAGAGGAGAGCACGAAGCTCCTCGACCCTACAACTGAAGGCAAGTGCCAACAAGAGAAAAACCAGCGTTGAATGTAATGAAACGCCATTTTCTGGGTTACCCCTGGAGGCTCCCTGGAGCTATTGAACTTATATTAGCTATATTAGTCTGGGGCTTCAGTCACATGGAGTTGTCATGCGTAATGGGAACCACGAGCCAGAACATGGTTCCCTCAGAGAGCTGAAGGGAACAATGGCATATGAAAATTCCACTGTTTGGGAGTATATTCATGTCTGCCATTGACTGGGGTTGGGCAACCAGAAATGTAGGCTCCCCCAGAACAAACCCAAACTAGTAGAAAATTGCAACCCGAGACTGAAACAGAGGCTAATAACTCCTCCCCCCTTCCCCCCACCCCCAAGAAAAACAAGGAAACGAGCAAGCAGTTATTAACCCAACACGCCACTCGTTCAACCCCTCCCCCCCCCTCAGACTGGTGGAGGGGGGCTTCCTTCAGTTATTTCATACATTGCCTTGGTAAAGAAAATGTGGCTTCTGACACCTTGACCAGAGCATTCCGCTGTTTAACACTCCCTGCATCGACTCACTTAAATTCATAACGTACTCTGCCATCCTGAAATGCAACATGAAATGGCCTAATTACAAGACTCAACCCTCTCCAGTCCATGACACTGGGACAAGAAAGATGAACTCCCCAACTGCACCTAGTATTCCATATGGAATACCCAGTGACAATGTGCACTTTCTCCAGGGAGACCCAGTGACAATGTGCACTTTCTCCAGGGAGACCCAGTGACAATGTGCACTTTCTCCAGGGAGACCCAGTGACAATGTGCACTTTCTCCAGGGAGACCCAGTGACAATGTGCACTTTCTCCAGGGAGACCCAGTGACAATGTGCACTTTCTCCAGGGAGACCCAGTGACAATGTGCACTTTCTCCAGGGAGACCCAGTGACAATGTGCACTTTCTCCAGGGAGACCCAGTGACAATGTGCACTTTCTCCAGGGAGACCCAGTGACAATGTGCACTTTCTCCAGGGAGACCCAGTGACAATGTGCACTTTCTCCAGGGAGACCCAGTGACAATGTGCACTTTCTCCAGGGAGACCCAGTGACAATGTGCACTTTCTCCAGGGAGACCCAGTGACAATGTGCACTTTCTCCAGGGAGACCCAGTGACAATGTGCACTTTCTCCAGGGAGACCCAGTGACAATGTGCACTTTCTCCAGGGAGACCCAGTGACAATGTGCACTTTCTCCAGGGAGACCCAGTGACAATGTGCACTTTCTCCAGGGAGACCCAGTGACAATGTGCACTTTCTCCAGGGAGACCCAGTGACAATGTGCACTTTCTCCAGGGAGACCCAGTGACAATGTGCACTTGCTCCAGGGAGACCCAGAAAGCGTTCCCGGGTACCAAGACCTGAGTGAGATTCAGATCATGTAGCTTAGTAATTAGTGTGCTGATGAAAATTATTTAATTTATCTGCTGTGTTCACATACTATTAACAATCTAAAAGAGGGAGGAATGTGATATTTAGAAATATTTGATAATATTCATTTGTTCTTCTTCTTTGTAGAGTTCTTTATTATGATGATTTGTAAATCCCCTCCTTATACCTTTGATTTGTGTTACTGTATTTCAGATATCACGTAGGGAACCAAGTAGATTAAAGCGGTGAAAACCATGTTCAAGTACTGTAGATTATTTACCTCCAGCTACTTCACCAACCAGACAATATTGTACAAAATAGCAAGAGCAGAAAGAGATTCTGGTAAAAATGTTATTAATTGAATAAATTTCTGACAGCCTTCTCAGACTTTGGGAAAGATCATTGTGTCTCCTCATCTTAAGAACTTCATTTGAGAAGCCTACTTAACGAAGAATTACTAAACAGTAGACCCATTACAATTAATAAAGCCAGGAAAATAATACTGGTACGGAGACTTACCAGTGACAAGAACATTGTTAGTCCACTGCATACACGAGACTGCATCACAGTGAGCCTCTAGTAGCAGACACACTTGACCATATTCCTGACTGTACGTATACCTGCAAAATGAAAAAAACATTTCTACTAAGTTTGTTAATAATTCACTAAGTTACAATTTCATTTTGTATACTATAGTTACAATTTTATATTGAAAGTCCCCCTTTATATTGCAGTCCCTGAGGCAGTGGTAACACACTCGTCCCGTGCATTGCGAGCAATTTGGCCTGGGTTCATATCCTGGGCGGGGACGATTAAATAGGTGCCAATCTTTAACCATACACCTCTGTTCACCTAGCAGTGAATGGGTACCTGGTTGTTAAATGATTTAGCAGGTCCTATTCCAGGGAAAATTAAGATTAAGGACCTGCTTAAAATGCTCCGCATGCTAGTGGCTTTACAGGAATTTAAAAACTCTTGAATATATAATAAAAAAAACAGTGTTGAATGTAATGAAATGCCACTTTTGGATTTGTTCATTTGACTCTCAGTTTCTTGATTCTGAAATTTTCTTTATTTACAAATTTTTCTCTCGCCTTGGTTACCCCTTACATTATCTACTATGCCTATTCTCAAGCTAAACAAAATTTTTTTTATCCTAAACCTACTTCCAACATTATTAGCACTGTGCTCTGCCTTTCCTTCATATCTGAACTCAAACTCTTACTAATACCCTTCGTCCTCTTAACATAAAGCTCGCCTTTCAACAAACTAACACTCTTCGTACAAATCTGATTGGTTCACACTTTTCCTCCTCCTCCTCCTAATGCTGCTGGTGTCTTCTCTATTTCCTGTTTGTCTTGTCCTGCCCAATACTTTGGGGAAACTGGCCATACACTAAATGACAGACTTAGGAACACAAAAGAAGTGTTAAGTCTACATACACAAACAGTGTTCTTCTGTCATGTTAGGGATTCTGGTCATCCTATTGATTGGTTTTCTTCTAAAATAATCTTTCCTGCATCTACTCTTTACAGATGCCATCTTCTTGACTGATACACAACATACCCAACATGAACCTTAGTCCTGGCTTTGTTGCTGTTGACTCTTCCCTTTCACAGTACATACTCAAATGCTCTAAACTTTCTAACAAACGTGACCTAACATAAGCCTATCCATCCTCTTTTCTTTTTCTTATGTTCCCATTCTTACTCCTATTATTATCCATTACACCCTTTATTATATCTATCCCTTCTGTACCTTTCGCCTTCCTCTAAGATTTCCTCCTCCTCACCTCTCTCTTGCCTTACTTAATGCCCCTGCCTCCCTCGTCTCATCACAATCGATTTGAGAATGGTCCAGGACAGACCGAAACGTCGTCGTCCCTTCACCTTCTAGTGTGTGGTCTGGTCAACTGTATGGTCATTTTTGGATTTGCCTAGTAAGAATTTTGCTTATTTGGATGTCTGGCTTATCTGGTGAGGGATCCTTCACATATAAAGATGACAAGTCACAATAATGTAGCTGAAGATATGATGACCTAACCACAACTCAGGTGGAGGAGAAGCAACGACGTTTTGGTCCATCCTTGACCATTATCAAGTCAAGTGTAAGAAGAGAGGAAGGTAATGTACAGGCAAATATATAAGGTAAGAGAGTAAGATGAGAGGTGAGGAGCAGGTAAGAGAAGGAAAGAATAAGGTAAGAATAAGATGAATGTAGGAATAAGGTAAGAATAGGATCCTGAATGTAGGAAAAAGGTGAGAAAAGGATGAAAGAATAGGATGAATGTAAGGATAGGATGAATGTAAGAATAAGACAAGATAATGGTCCAGGATGGATTGAAACGTGTGCTTCTCCATCTTCTGAGTTATGGTTTGGTCATCATCCTTCCTATATGGTCTGGATAAGTGAGCTTAGACAACAGTATATCCATTGCTGCACCTAGAGGGTTAAAATGTGCATAATGATAAGTATCCACAGTTGCATATTGCCTCTTATATGCCACAGTTAATACACAAATTATGTGCCGTATTGAAAACTTCATTTGCTTAATATCTTAACATTTCAATAGCTGGGAGCCTAAAGGTTTCTGAAGCAGCTTCAATGCCAGCAGGACTGCTGATGCACATATGGAGAAATGCACATGTTTGTTTCCAAAATTTGTCACCATTACCCAATTTAAACATTTCTAAGCATTAAATATTAATCTTTACTCACTCACACATTATTATCCCACGAGCCCACAACAGCAACATCGGTGCCGGGCAGGTGAAGACAACACGACGTTGCCATCGAGCTCAAACGAACACTTCTCATCTGCCAAGAGAGAATACACTTGCCCTTTATTACCAACCATTTGTGAATTAAAATACAGATACAGTATTAGTTTAAATAAACATTAGACAAGTAAAATTGATATAGTAAGGTACAGAGGGCACAAGATGCATAGAAGCACAAAGTATACCACAGGACAAATCTTAAATAATTTTCCCCCACAACCGCTAATATCAGATAAGTTATTTCAAACTGGAATTTTATATAAAACGTTATTAAAAAAAGCCCAAATGAAATTACAATTCTGTGTACAATACAGTACAGTACTGTACCGTACCCTCTATAGCCAATGTTAATTACTAAAAGTGGAACCAGCCAACCTGCTCCAACTTGGGCACAGTGAACATCTTTATCAGTGAATCCTGAGCAACAGACATGACTTGTTGTGCGTCAGTTGTAAATGCAACTCCCATGACGACATCACGATGCCCTTTACATTCTTGCAGTTGCTGAAGATCTGTTAACCTTTGCCAAAGATTTCTGACAGTTAGGCTGGATCCTCCAACACAACTTTCTGGAAAAAAAATTTATTTAAAACACTTTCCAGATCTTTCTAAATAAGAAAAAGTACTGCAGGAGTAACCTAAAGTTATTTATCAAGTGTTGGTATGAAAAATTGTTAAACATATTTTCCTGAAGCTTGACAAACAAGAACTATATTTATTGAGAACATGGTATAGTTGACTAATTGAATGGGACTGGACCAAAGTTTTAGGTAGACAACTTTTATTAGACAACAACATATGGCCAAGTTTGTGGGAAATTCTCACAAAATAGCCAAAATTATGCGAGAAGAAATTCAAAGTTACTAATCTAATAGTATATGTCCTCTATAATGCACTTGAAGTATCAAATCTAAATATGCTTCTTTATCTTTTTCTAAAATGGGAACCCACACATAAATGTGTGTATAACCCCACAATACAGTTAGGTGGGATTGCGTGCACAAAAAGATTGTTCTCAGGCAATCTGGACATTAGGTTTGTTGATGGTAGTTGGGGATGATAATGATTATGAGTCACGTAGAGATGTATTAACTTTTCCATAGCTAAATTAATGCTGAATAAGGCATTATGCAATATGGCAATATTGCATAATGAATAAGGCAATATGCATGTTGATCTTAATAATAGTTCTGGAAGTATATTAATACAGTACATAAAGAGTTTCAGCAAGTGTCAGTGTCACCAGATTATCCCTTAAACTGCGCATATCATTCATATATATATATATATATATATATATATATATATATATATATATATATATATATATATATATATATATATATATATATATATATATATATATATATATAATATATATATATATATATATATATATATATATATATATATATATATATATATATATATATATATATATATATATATATATATATATATATATATATATATATATATATATATATATATATATATATATATATATATATATATATATATATATATATATATATATATATATATATATATATATATATATATATATATATATATATATATATATATATATATATATATATATATATATATATATATATATATATATATATATATATATATATATATATATATATATATATATATATATATATATATATATATATATATATATATATATATATATATATATATATATATATATATATATATATATATATATATATATATATATATATATATATATATATATATATATATATATATATATATATATATATATATATATATATATATATATATATATATATATATATATATATATATATATATATATATATATATATATATATATATATAATATATATATATATATATATATATATATATATATATATATATATATATATATATATATATATATATATATATATATATATATATATATATATATATATATATATATATATATATATATATATATATAATATATATATATATATATATATATATATATATATATATATATATATATATATATATATATATATATATATATATATATATATATATATATATATATATATATATATATATATATATATATATATATATATATATATATATATATATATATATAATATATATATATATAATATATATATATATATATATATATATATATATATATATATATATATATATATATATATAATATATATATATATATATATATATATATATAATATCAGTGACAAAACCGAAACCGCACACATCATTTATATATGCTTTCGTGTCTAGCGCTATAATTTAAATGCCCCGTCTGGGATAGGGGCAGCTATAGTATAGCCACAACCAATAGTTGCCAGATGCCACCTTGAAAAAAAATCCAGGCCAACATTCTTGGATGTTAGAGCATCAGTAATGAGCAAGCCACCAAGGCTGGCGCACGCAGCATGAGCTCACAGCACCGCTGTTCAGCTTTTGACCACAGCATCGCCTACAAATGCCATAATATACATGATACTGCTATTATTTAGCGATGATAGTATTATAGAAGACCCCTGACTGTGATAAAACTGACCAGGATTCTGATAATAGCAGGATTGTAGTGATATTTAGCGCTGTGCTCCATGGAAGGAGGAGTAAGGCTGTGGGAATGAGGGTTGTGGCGTCGTCTTCTGACTGTGTGTGGCCACCTTTTATTGACTGCACTCACCATACTAGCTTAGTGGTTCGCTATGGTGAACACAAATGTACATATTTATATATAATGTGTGTATAGTGAGAGATAACAGCAAGAGGAGTAGGTTGGGAGTCGCCATTTTGGTGAGGCGAGATTGTCTGCACTATTATAACTAATACTAAACATAATAGTAACTAAGCACTAATAAAAATTATAAGCCAAGTAGAGATATATGCAGTAGTTAGATGGACAATTTAACTGTCTTTATTAGTCAAAAAGAGGGAATAGTTATAAGTGGAGCAAGCCCCCAAAATAGGTTAGTGCAGACTGTTTATTATTCCCATATAAATTACCCTATGAACTAATTGTGCAATGAACAATATAAGTAGCCTTATTTAAGAGTGCTACAATTAGATATAATTTACATATTTACTAGACATATTATAAACTAGACAATTTTTATCTGCTGAAGATTTTGTGAGTGGAAGATGTCTGGTCAGCAGAGCCAGGTTCAAACATTATACCTCTCAAATCAAGCTAGGTCAACTATTTACACCAAAATCCCCACAAACATATCAAAATATTTAACTCTAGGGAAACAAATTTCTTTAGCAGCTTCATTGGCACACAACCTATGATGGCCTTCAACCTTCTCTCAGTCACTTACCATTGCACTCTGCAGAATCTTCCACAAAATTTAATGTACTTCCAAGTACATTATTCAGATGAAGAGAATCATAAAGGCCATATGATCTTGACCTTCGAGGATGTGGTCTACAGAAGAGCTGTTTCGGTACCTGCCCAAATTCTGTGATCTGGACCTCTAATGCCAATCTGTCGTTGAGGTCTGTAATTGCAGCCAAGTCTACAGATCCTTCATAGCAGAGGTGGTAAAACACTGTAGATAAAAAACAGAAGCCGGCATTGAATGTAATGAAGTGTCTCTTTCTGGTGGGTTCTTTGGTGGCTCCCTGCTACTACAACCTGGACAGCTCCACCCAATTAGATTCACACTAGACCCTTGCGAATCTTAAAAATCCTATTAGAGAGCAGAGGACAAAACATGGTCCCCTCCTTACAAAGGAGCAAAGGAGAAGAGGATTCAAGAGCACTAACTGAAAGAAGCTACAAGAAAGGTAGAGCAACCCAAAGTAAACAGTAAGGAAAAAAAATAAAAAAAAATAAAAAAACAAAAGGAATAAATACACAAAAAATATAGTAACATAGGGAAGAATCAAAATACAGAAAATGGGGAATCCAGGAGACAGCTCATTCTTTTTCTAATATCAGAAAAGAGAATAAAGTTCTCTCATCAACTACAGAACTTGACACCCAATCATAATATGATGGAAGAAACAAGCATTGAATGAAATGAAACGCCTCTTTCTGGTAGAGCCCCAGGGCTCCCTGAAGTCATCTTTGCTTAGATGCCTCTTCACTACTGGGCACATCAGTTGCAGGCGTCCTGTTAGACCTGCCAGGACTAGAGCCAGAACCTGGCTCCTTTACAGAGGAACAAAGCAGGGGACTATTATCATCACCCTTACTAACAAAACACCCAGCAAACCAGTGAAGCTTTACAGACAACTACAAACTTCATAGAAAACAAAGCACCAAAATGGCTTAATACCATACTTGGGAAACAAGCGGTTAACTAGCATAAACCCATTAGTACCGATAGCTACTACCAGGCAGTCCGTGCACTAGCCAACACCTACTCTGTTGGTCAATCCAGAGCTGAATTAAAGAAACTGGGAGGGAGGGAGGGGAGGGAGTCAGGGAGCCACTGATGTTCTACCAGAAAGAAGCATTTCATTACCTTCAATGCTGAATTTTATGGAAGAAGCAGCATTTCATTACCTTCAATGCTGAATTTTATGGAAGAAGCTCCTTAGTGGCTCCCTTAACCACTGAACTGGGCAATGTGCCTGCAGACCCTCAACAGGGGGTGCGCAACTCACCTCCGGGTATTTTTATTTTTAGTATATGATTCAAAACTCCTGCAGCTATATGGGGTTCACATCAGCTTCCTCAGGGCGCTTGTAAACAGATGCCATTTAAAAAAACAATCGTGGGGAACATTCCCAGGTGTGAAGGTTTCTGTACCGAGTGAGCAACCAAGGCTGGCACACACAGCATGAGCTCACAGTACTGCTGTTTGTTGATTGATTGGATTGTTGTGATAGCACTGTGCGTAGTATTGTGGGAGGAGGAAGTTTGGTGAGGGAGGGAGGGAATCTAGATAGTGTCACTGTGTGGCAGCCACTCTTGTTTTGCTCACCATACTAGCTAAGTGATTCGCAATGGTGAACACACATGTACTTAGGTATATACACATATTGTGTATACCCATGTACATATGTGCATAGTATTGTGGGAGGAGGAATTTTGGTGGGGGGGGGGGGGCACGGAGGGAGAAAATCGAGGTAGCGTCACTGTGTGGCAGCCACTCTTGTTTTGCACACCACACTAGCCTAATGGTTCGCTATGGTGAACACATATGTACATGGGTAAATACAATGTGTGTGTGTGTATATATAGTGTAATAACAGCAACAGGAGTATGTTGGGAGGAGCCTTTTTGGTGAGGGAGGTGGCGACATACCTGTAGCGTTGTCTGCTGGCTGCTGTGTGATTTTTCCATGCAGTGTATGGTGGCCACTATGCTGTTTGGACACAATACCAGCTTACTTGCATAGTTATGGTGAATAAACATGTAGATACGTATACATAACATGTAGTGTAATAAAAACAATAACAGTATGGTGGGAGGAGGAATGTTGGCGAGTAAGGTGTAAGGAGTAAGCTAGCTAGGAGTGAGGAAAAGCTGGCTGGGCGTAGCAGCTCACACTCGTGGAGTTCTGAGTGAATGTGTGAATGTATTTAGAGTGTGATAGTGTATAGTGTGTAAATATGTTGTAAATATACATAAATGAACATGAAACATTGGATATATGAGCAATATATGTGGACACATTTGAGACACACAACACAGTCTTGGGACAGTACGGATGTTCTACTGCCATAATATTGTGTACGTGTTCATTATACATAGGATTGGCAATCCTATACGGCAGGGGGGCGGCAGGGGGGGGGGGGTGCCGTATTTGGAAGCTGAGCAGCCCAGTGGTTGAGCAAACTATCCACAGAGAAACAGGAAAATAAAGGACTTACCAGGGAGGGGGAAGATGGTGGGTACTCTTCTGAGGAAAAGACCACAAGATGGGAAACCTGTCCCAACGCCACACACAACGCCAGGAATATTGATCAAATACCGGGCTGCCACAACCCTGTTAGACCTCTAAAGCCACCAAGCACGAATATCAGCCCCCCCCCCATGTTGGAGGAGACCACTGCCAATGTAATGTACTGTAATGTATTTATGAACATAATGGGCCTGAGGGTAGACCACAGGCTGGCTAGATTTGATGACACTGAAGTGTAAAATATGATGACCTGAGAAATATGAGTCTTGGAATAGGGGACCAAGGAAATACTGTAGGGTCAACCAACAAGGCAGCCACCAAGGCAGAACCGGTGGCACATAGGTAACAATGAAATGTCACCATCCAACAAATGATGCACCCACAAATGGGCCAACCAAGCATCAGTTACCAAAGCATTCCTCCAGAAATCAGCCAAATCGTTCTTGGGCAGAAAAACCAGCGTTGGATTTAATGAAACACCATTTTCTTGGGAGGTCCGAAGGCTCCCTGGAACTATCGGACTTGTATTAGCAATGTTAGTCTGGGGCTTCAGTCACATGGAGTTCTGCCTACCGGGAACCACGAGCCAGAACCTGGTTCTCTCAGAGAGGTGAAGGAAGCAATGGCCTATGAAAATTCCAATCTTTGAGAGTACAATACTGTATATTCATGTCTGCCATTGACATGGGTTAGGCACCCAGAAAGGTAGGCATCCCAAAACAGACCCCAAATGGTCTGGTAGAAGATTGCAACCCAAGACCAAACAGAGCCTGAGAACTCCCCCCAAGAAAAACAACATGCAAATTGCCATCAAACCGATGCATCACTCGTTCACACCCCTCCCCTGGGAAGGGGAGGGGGAGGCCCCGCCCAACCGAGCCGGCCGTTGGTCCGGCTCAGTTGGTGTGATGGTGGTACAGTAGTGGTAAAGGTGGTAGTAGTGGTATTGTTGGTAATGATGATAGTAGTGGTAGTAATGAAGATGTTTTCTCACAGACATCTTATAGTATTTGTAGTGGTGGTAATGATATTGGAAGTGGTGGTAATGGTAATAGTAGTGGTACAATAGTGGTGGTAATGATATTGGTACTCATAAGATCAGTAGTAAAGAGAAATGACTGCTTGGTGGTCCCATTTGATAAGTGCTTTGCCTTTACAAGGAGCACTTGTAAATGCAGAGTTTAATGTATTTACTGGGCTGTATCTTGAGCTGTATTAAATGTTCCCCAGTTTCCTTAGCACCAGTATGACCTGCCAATGCCAGTTTCAACATTTTCAAATGCAATTGTGGAGAAATATCTGCCTATCCTGGTTACACTAGTAACTCACCTTAAGGAGTAAACGAGGGTGATAGCTGATAATGAGGCTCAATAACATTAAAATTTTAGAATCCAAAAAAAATGACAACGTAACATAAGTTTATTTGTTGCACTTACAATTGTCAGCTTTCTCTGCCTCTTCACCATTTTGCTTGAAGCCAAATATGAGATCAATCCAGAAATGTAAATTATTTGAGACATGTTCAGACTCAAGAGCTTCTCTCATTATTTTTATCACACTGCGGGAATCTGAAGAAACAGAATAATATTTGTTAGGACAATATAAAGTAGAAAAAAGCAGCGTTGAATGTAATGAAGCGGCATTTTCTGGGTAGAGCCCCAGAAACTCCCTGGAGCTATTGGACTGATATTAGTTAATATTAGTATGGGGCTTCAGTCATATAGAGTTGTCATGCCTACCGGGGACCACTAGCCAGAACATGGTCCCCCCCTCAGAGAGGTGTAGGGAGCAATGGCCTATGAAACTCATGTATGAAAGTATTCATGTCTGCCATCGACCGGTTGAGCACCTAAAAATGTAGGCGCTCCAAAACAGACCCCTCCTGGTAGAAAAATTGCAACCTGAGACAGAGCAGAGGCTAGAAACTCCTCTAAAGAAAAAAAAGATAACATGCAACACGTCATTGCACCACACGCCGCTCGTTCGTGCTGATGCCTTCCTCCCCTCTTCTAGGAGGGGGAGAGGGGGGGGGTCCCAGCCCACCAAGCCGGCAGCCAGACCGTCAGTTTGGAGGCTGAAAACGAAAACAAAACCCACCGACAGGGTGAGGGAGGGTGCCAAGGAGCCTCTGGGCTCTACCCAGAAAATGGCATTTCATTACATTCAACACTGGTTTTCTGTGGGGAAGCCCCATCGGTTTCCCTAGAGCTAACTACCCAAAGAGCAGAAAAAAAAGAAGGACTTATCCAGGAGGCAGGTGCATTGCACCGCTCATAACGAAGAAGAGACAACTGGCTGCAACCACTAACCCAAGGCGAAACAAGACCGCTGAGGGCCCGGCACATTAACAAGATATCGGGCAGCCAGGACCCTGTTCAATCTCCAAAACTCCTGCGACTGAATATTGCAAAACACAGTCTTGATTATCTTCTTCTTGAGATTATCTTGATTATCTTGAGATTATCTTGAGATGATTTCGGGGCTTTAGTGTCCCCGCGGCCCGGTCCTCGACCAGGCCTCCACCCCCAGGAAGCAGCCCGTGACAGCTGACTAACTCCCAGGTACCTATTTTACTGCTAGGTAACAGGGGCATTCAGGGTGAAAGAAACTTTGCCCATTTGTTTCTGCCTCGTGCGGGAATTGAACCCGCGCCACAGAATTACGAGTCCTGCGCGCTATCCACCAGGCTACGAGGCCCCCGAGGCCCGAGTTCGCAGTCAAAGCTGCGAACTTATGAACATCATATGCACAGGTAGACCAAGGAAGGGCGCCACAGACAGGAAGACACCTTGACTATGCCGACGCGAAGAGATCCATGTCCAGCAAAGCCAACTGAATGAGTTGGCGTCGACCGTCCATTCCAGTCAGGGGAATGAACTGTGACAGGCTGTCTGCCAGGATGAGGAATCTTGGATCTTGGCCCCAGCCAAGAGAGAAATCATTTGTGAACTCATCGAGGCAGGGGCTCCAGGAGGCACCAAGGCACCGAACCCTGAAAACCCCGAAGAAGGCAGAGCCATGTAATGACTGCCGTGTTCAGACACCAGGCCCAAAGTGCCAGAAACCAAGGCTGATTAGGCCACCAAGGAGCCAGAAGGATCACCCTGCCAGTGTAATTCTCCAGTTTGGACAACATCTGTAATAACAGGTGAACTAGAAGGAACAGATAAAGAAACCTCTACTGGAACAGCTGAATAGGATCCACCATGAGAGCCTGACAATCAGGGAACAGACAGTTTTAGTTACGTTCTTGGTAATGTATTTTCCAATGTGCTCTGGCATTCCAAAACTAACTTCTTAACAAAAATGAGCATTGTTCCCCGATTGCTTACTATGTAAATGTGGTTATCACCACAAAGGTTACTATGGCAAAGTGGCAATTGTCATGATATAAAATTAAATTATAATTTCACGATATGTAAACCGATTATGTTCTTATCGTTTTCACAACTCTATATGTTTGTAATGAAGTATACCAGGTCAACCAATCATCATAATAAAGGAACTTCAGTAGGCCAATATGAGGCAGCTCCTATTTATATCCACCCAAACTCATTCATTCATATCTATATATTATATATTATATATATTATATATATATATAATATATATTATATATATTATATATACTGTACACACAAACAGTACCCATTCATATATATGAATGAGTTTGGCTATATATAAATAGGAGCTGCCTCATATGGGGCCAATAGGCTCTCACGAGTTTCTTTAGCTTTTATAATCTTATTAATACATAGATAAATTCATTGATACATACACACTTACATTGACTCATTAGTTATTTAACAAATATTTAGGGGAATGAACAAATAAAAGTAAGAATGATCATGTAAACAGCCAAGGTCATCACTGAAGTCTGGCTCACACCACTCTGGCTGATGAAAGGTCTGGCACATTGACATATCTGGCTGGTGTAGCCGCCCACCAATCTTCTCTTTACGAAACCAGTACAAATTTATTACCAGTACTAGTATTCTGTACATTTTACTTCCTCTTTATCATTCTACAAGGAAAAAATTTCTTTAGGATTTTTTCTACTTAGGTTTAATCATTTGCAGCAAGAATTAAGCCCAAAATCATGATAACCTTATATATGCCTCGCAGAAAAAATTCCCTCTGGCACGCCTAACCAAATATGTACAGTCACTACTCATGACATTTAATTTTTATGTAAACTGAATAAACTATTAATTACCTTTTGCCCATGGAGGTAATTCAACATCGGCGACTGGCTTTCCATTCTGCCTTACACCGAAGTTAATTCGTAGAGAATTTGTGAGAAAGTCAGCCGATCCATCCAAATTGTAGAAGTTTGGTATAAGTTCTTTGAAGTCTGACGGATTGGTTGTGACATTACACCAAGTTTCAGCAAGACTAGAAATTAAAAACATCTGTCAGATACAAGGAAAATGGTATCTATTGTGACTGCACAAAACCTACAACAAACACTAAGTAAATATGGAATTGTTTGCATCATACAGTAAAATATGTAACTTGCAACAGTATAAAGTCTTCCAGACTATAAATACCTTCATGAATCTTGACAATTCTACTATAAACATTTAGATTCTTTGAGCATTACCTTCGGAAAACTGCTGTACTCTGGTATTCAAGCTGGTCAGTTTCACTCTTCCCTTCTCCAAGAAGGGTTTACCCTATTCTTATATTACCAAAGTACTGTACACAATCAGGTTCCCAACATTACCTGTTAAACATTCTATCAGGATGATCAAAGCGGCCATTCTGCAGACAGAGCATATACTGGGGGTACTGCCGCACGAGGTAGAACAACACAAAGCCTGGTGTAGAGTAGTGCGAGCCATACAAGAATCTTGGCTCTGGCATGTCCTTGCAACGCTCCTACAAAACAATGGATCCAATAATTATGAAAATTAGTTACTTGCAGTTTTATTAAATGTAATTCAGCAAAGTAAATAGTCTCAATGTGGCAGATTTGCTTTGTGTTAAGCAACCTCTTTCTCCCAGTCTTTCTATATTTTAGTCTCTGGATAATTTAGATTAGGCAGGATTTACTCAATTCAGAATTTGAAGGTAATGTTCTAGCTTACCAGAAATAATGAAAACCCTATACAGTATTATCTTTAAAGACTAAGTCAAATAATTCACTAATAATATACCTCTTGTTTGCCAAATGTTTTTGGTTAAGAGATCTGTATGGTTAACTACCCCTGTCATACAATAGGGATAGAACCTGTAGCAACCACTGGTCAAACATACAAAAATAGACTATTGCATCCAAAAGTCATTCACATTTCATAATAAATTTTGAAGAGGGCACAAGAAAGAAGGTAACAACCAAACTTAAACTTTCCTAGGAAGTGCAGTTGTTTTGACAATGGCTTACATTTTGAGCGAGGAGTCCATATAAACAACTGGGCCTCTACCCTTCACTCCGAACTATTTGGCCTACTTCTTGCATTCAAATGTGTACAAGTCTACAAGTCTGTTTGCAGTGTTGTTATCCCAGTGGCCCTCAACCGTTCCCGATACAAAAGATGACTAGGCTCTAGTATAATTTTTGTTGCCCAGTGTTGCACCTTCTCCAGAGTAGCTATATCTTTCTGGAGAGGAGGTCTCCATGCCTGGATGCAATAACCCAGGTGGGGGTGCATTACATTAATCCAAGATGAATGTAATGAAAAGCCCGTTTCTGGGTGAACCCTGACGGCTCCCTAACACCCTCCCTCCCTTCGGTTGGAGGCTTTCATCATTCAAGAACTGGGGTGGTGGGCTGCCAGCTCACTCGGGGTAATTCCCCTCCTCGGTGGGAGGGGTAGCACTTATGAAGGGGGGGAGGGGTTTAGCTGGATGATGTGTTGCTTGTCTGTTTTCTTTCTAAGGGAGATATCTTGCTATTTTGAAGATGGAGCTTGCATAGTGTAACCAGACTGTGGTCTGTTTTGATTCTCCTACTTTTCTGGGTCCTTCCCTGGTCGATGGCAATTATGACATACATACAATAGTGCCTCGATTAACGAATTTAATCCGTTCTGGCACCGAGCTCATCATGGTATCTATTGAATCATCACAAGTAACTTCACAAGTTACTGAGGTACAAATCAATGTGCTTACTGTACTGAAAAAATAAACTTATGCCACCGATACATCAGCACTTCTAGTGAATAATCCATTTGCCCTTGGTTTCAGACTTAATGTTCACAAGCTGTCAGATTACGAAGTGGTGGTTACTTACTGAATATAATCATCTGCAAACCTTTCTCAAAATCATCTACAGAAACTGTTTAAGAACTCTTACAGACCAAGAACTACAAACAAGACTAGGTAGGACAATATTCCTCAATGCCAACAAAGTTCTCAATAAAATGAAAATGTATAAAACAATATTTAAAGTAGATGGTAATACTGAACTACAGTCAATAAATTATCAATGAATAGTATTACAGTATTTTCACAAACTGAAATGCAGAACAAGCCATTACCTTTAATCTTTTAAGTCTTTCTTCATTGAGAGCACCTATGGGCTTGGACAGATCACGATATATTCCAGGATCTGATAGGTCGAGGGTCTCACTCACATAGTTTGCCAATACCCAGGGAAACACTGGGTACTGAGTCAAGTCATTCTCACTTCTATCAGCCTGACTGTTAACAGAAAAACTGTATTAGATATGTTCGGAGGTACTGTATTCTTCTTGGTTACACACACACATCTTAAATACTTTCCTTTTAAGCTATTTACAAGAACTTCATTTCTTTATCAAGAAGAATTTCGTTGGTAGGTCTAACCTGTTGAGATAGGAGAGGTAGTCATAGTTTGATATGGCTCCCGCCTGCCACTGGTAACTCATATTGTCTTGACGCATGTCATCCATATTTACTCTCTCCTGTTGTGTCAGGAACTTGTACAGCTTATCTCTACACTCAGACTCCTGAAGCAATACAATAGTCAATATTATTCATGCAACTGTCCAACCAATAGTTGGACAGTTGGTTTAACTCATTAGACTAGACAGAATTTCAGATTTATCTTTGACTTGCACATTGATAACACTTCATGGTAGAGCTAACATCAACAGAGTGCTCAAGAATGCCATATTCTCTCTTGAAACTCTTACTTAGCTAGGTGAAAAATGTAATGACATTCAGAAAATAGAACAATATATATTACTCTCAAATGAACATAACTGAGCTATCCACTAACATCAAATTCACTATTACAATCTGTATTGTCATAAACACTTTCATCAAACATTTAAAATATAATACTTTTCAACAAACTGTACCTTAAATGTCAACAACAGATGTTTGACCATGCATTGATCTCGGCAGAATACTTCCAAACCCTGAAAATACAACTTAATTTTACCATTTTGTCAAATGAATGATCTATACCTTTTTTTTCCTTCAATGAACATTATAAGATTAAGTTAGTCCGATTGATATATTGTTTGTCTGGAGAAAAACAATTATATACAAGTACCAGTATCTTAAAATGTCAGTTACACAAAGGTAGTCAAGAGCAACAATTTAATAACAATTTCAGATGACTTAATGACAATTTGAATCCAATGAGCTTTGTGGTACACTATACAGGGTTAGTAATGGTAATGTCTTCTCAAAGACATAATAACATAGGATAAAAACCCACACTTGTGTATTTGTGAAATTTATGTAAGGAATTTACACCTAGTCTTTCCGTACTCTGAGTACTCTGAAACTTTCAAAGTCATGGGTCACTGAACTATGATGAAACATCAAAGGAAAACCAAATGAGGTTAACAGTACAGTATTCTCTATATATGTCCACCCACACACATGTTGTTTCATCACAGAAAATGTCTATAAGGAGATTTTGCTACATGTAGCTACCTTCTCATGCTTCAGCCTTTAAATTTATTTACAAAGATAGGCGTGCCATAAATCAGTGAACGAAAAATCATGGAAACTCAGTCTTTCACTTGTTGTGTGGACCAGTCTGACTGGTGTTTGGTTAATATGGTTCACTTGTTGTGTGGTCCACTTGTGTGATCCAACTTGTCATATGAAGGAACTATTAATTGTAACTTGTGATGTACATGTACAGTAATGGGAAAGTTTTCCACCAGTCTGTGAACTCTGTCCCAACATTGTAAGCAAATTATCACATTCCCCGCTTTGATGAACCAGAGTTCGTTGAAACTGGCAAGTAAATCCGGCCTGAAAAGTGTACAACCTAGCCGGAGATTCACCAAATCTGGTTACACCAAATTGACGTTGTACTGTATCTGAATTTGTTCGGATATGGCGAAGTTTGGTCGAAAATTATTTGAACCCGATTTTGGCTGGATAACCCAAATACTGTATTAAGTTCAGTGTGTTTCGAATAAACGAGCTAGTACAGTACAGTACCTGTATTTAGGATATTTGTACATTTTTATGAGTGATTATGTTTTTATGTTCCATTAGTTCTTCCTGATAGCCCATATTTACATGGGTCCCAAGCCTAATATTGACAAGTTCCAAGTTTGTGTTTTGTTTGAGTCTCTTGACCTGTACTATACATTATATTGACTCTTTCTGATACTTTTAGATGGAGATCTTATCGATCTCCACTGTAGAGTACAGATCACCCTCCATTGCAAACTCCATATACAGTTTCAAATGTCCATATAATAAAGCCCAATAGGCTTGGAAATCTGCAGATCAATCTATAGAAATTTAAGAGAAAGGAAAATCAGGAAATTACTGTCATTCAAAGACAGTGGTTGCCTACTAGCTAATTGACAAGGGGAGATAGCTGAAGGAATGGTAAGAAGTAAGTCTGTCAGTTAAGTTACTCACAAGGCATGAAAACTTCCCTTCACATTCCTTAGCTTGTGAGCCTGTGTTCAATGCCAGAAATTAATTCAATTAACTTACCACTTGCCTTAATAGATAGCGTCGTTTGATGATTTGTCTGATATGTGAGAGACCGATTTTTATCACAGGATACTGCTGTAAAGTAAAATATTATATTAATTTTTACTAAGATTAACAAATAAAGTATTCATGAAGGCAAAATAGTGATCAACTGAGCACACTTACCAGACCAACAAAAACCCAGTATTGAATATAATGAAATAACTTTCTAGACGAGGTCAGGTGGCTCCCTAAAGCTATCTTCCCGAGATTGCTCCATGCACATGGGTCACATCAGATATAGGAATTTTGTCTGGCATACTGAGGATAAGAGCCAAAACGTGGCCCTCCTCACAGAGGCACAGAGAGCAATTGACAATTAACCATCACAATGAGAGAGCATCCAAAAAAGTCTGCAAATTTTTACTGACAACTGGAGGGTTAACACAGATCAAAGCCTCGAAAACACTAAACTCTGCAAAGGATTAACACAAAACAAGAAAAATATTCAAAACTACCACTGCACAATCCAGAGGGTCAAGTGTCCTGATATCAGCAACTAGTGAAATGAATATCATTAGTAAACATTTGTAACAAGTGTTTCTCCTGTTGACTAACCTTGTCAGCATTATTATGAGGCTGAAAGTATAACATTGAGGTAGTGAGGAGCACAGTGCCTGGGTTGGTTACTAATGGCGTCACTTTGTTGGCTTTGGTCTCAAAGATCTCAGTCTCTGAGAGGTCTTCTAGCAACGCTCTGTCAAACTTCTGTCTACTTTGTCTTGATCTGACGATGGCTTGAATCTGTAAACATCAGAAAAAAGTGCTTTATCTAAAACTAGCATTATTCCTATTTTTATAGTCATATGAAGTATTTGTCTAGATCATCTTCACCCTGTTTTCCATTTTCATGAGGTGGGAACCAGGCAAGAGCCCAGAGGAAAATATGAGAGCATATATTAAACAGGTTAAAGCCAGCCATTCGTCGTATCTTCCTCACTAACTACTATCAAACAGAATTTTTACCATCATATGTATATATCACTTCTTCAATAGTGCCCCTATGATTCATACATCAATTTAGACTGAAAATTATGTTTAACCATTTCAATGTAAAACAAACCATTGTATTTTGGTCATTAGGAGGCAATGTTGAAGCTCTTTGGAGCTGACAAATCTGTGGAAGAACTGTCGTTACCTCTGCGTATATCAGCTGAAACTTGTGTTTGTGTTCTTCCTGTGAAAAATATTAACAGTCTTAACAGATGAACAAACTAGAAGGTGTAATGTTAAAAGTTAATGAAATTATATTCTAGAATATTCCACTAATGAACAATGCAATTATAATTTTAACCTTAATGTAGTGGAAATGACTGCACATGATTGATCCAAGTGGGAATGTAAATGACCATGTATAAGTGAAAGCATTAAGCATTACCATTACATCAGTCATTAGAATTATGTTAAAAATGGTACAGCCTTTTGCAAACTTCAGCATTCCAACACATGAAAATATATACAAAAAGAAAATGATTAAAATGCTCAAGTAACTAAAGCACAGCAGCTTAAGCCAAGATTGCAACTACAGATTCTTATGAAGTTTACATATATTTCAAAGATTTTGCACAAACTATCCTGCAAACCAGAGCTAGCTAATGGAGGTAGAATAGAACCTACTCTGCAGAACTTGTATGGTTGCAAGACTCCTCCCTCCAGCATCTCCACTGTCATACTGCAGGTCACCTCAACAACACTTTTTTCCCCCTCACTGAAACAACAGTTCCTCATTAAAGCTTAAACAAGTGGCAATGTTCACAAGGCAAATTTACAGGGGGTTAGGACCCAAAGGAAAAACTATTAGATAGGGGTGGGACCGGGAAGAGCATTAGGTAGCCTGATCATACGTTACAAAATTAAAATTAGTTCATTTGCCAGAGGAAGGGAATTTAAGTCAAAAGCCAGGAGCAATGGAAGTGCAAAGACAAATATTAAACAGCTTCACACAGGAATGCTAGAAAGCTGTGTGCAAGGGAGCAGAGGGGCGGCGTGCAAGAAGGCGGAGGGGCGGCGTGCAAGAAGGCGGAGGGGCGGCGTGCAAGAAGGGGGAGGGGCGGCGTGCAAGAAGGCGGAGGGGCGGCGTGCAAGAAGGCGGAGGGGCGGCGTGCAAGAAGGCGGAGGGGCGGCGTGCAAGAAGGCGGAGGGGCGGCGTGCAAGAAGGCGGAGGGGCGGCGTGCAAGAAGGCGGAGGGGCGGCGTGCAAGAAGGCGGAGGGGCGGCGTGCAAGAAGGCGGAGGGGCGGCGTGCAAGAAGGCGGAGGGGCGGCGTGCAAGAAGGCGGAGGGGCGGCGTGCAAGAAGGCGGAGGGGCGGCGTGCAAGAAGGCGGAGGGGCGGCGTGCAAGAAGGCGGAGGGGCGGCGTGCAAGAAGGCGGAGGGGCGGCGTGCAAGAAGGCGGAGGGGCGGCGTGCAAGAAGGCGGAGGGGCGGCGTGCAAGAAGGCGGAGGGGCGGCGTGCAAGAAGGCGGAGGGGCGGCGTGCAAGAAGGCGGAGGGGCGGCGTGCAAGAAGGCGGAGGGGCGGCGTGCAAGAAGGCGGAGGGGCGGCGTGCAAGAAGGCGGAGGGGCGGCGTGCAAGAAGGCGGAGGGGCGGCGTGCAAGAAGGCGGAGGGGCGGCGTGCAAGAAGGCGGAGGGGCGGCGTGCAAGAAGGCAGAGGGGCGGCGTGCAAGAAGGCAGAGGGGCGGCGTGCAAGAAGGCAGAGGGGCGGCGTGCAAGAAGGCAGAGGGGCGGCGTGCAAGAAGGCAGAGGGGCGGCGTGCAAGAAGGCAGAGGGGCGGCGTGCAAGAAGGCAGAGGGGCGGCGTGCAAGAAGGCAGAGGGGCGGCGTGCAAGAAGGCAGAGGGGCGGCGTGCAAGAAGGCAGAGGGGCGGCGTGCAAGAAGGCAGAGGGGCGGCGTGCAAGAAGGCAGAGGGGCGGCGTGCAAGAAGGCAGAGGGGCGGCGTGCAAGAAGGCAGAGGGGCGGCGTGCAAGAAGGCAGAGGGGCGGCGTGCAAGAAGGCAGAGGGGCGGCGTGCAAGAAGGCAGAGGGGCGGCGTGCAAGAAGGCAGAGGGGCGGCGTGCAAGAAGGCAGAGGGGCGGCGTGCAAGTATGCTATAAATGCTCCAAGCAAGAATGCTGCAAGTACTATGGAAAATATTGTAATGTAATGTGTAGCAAATACAGAGGGAAACAGTATTGAGCTAGATTAATATACCTTAATTGCTTCAACAATGATAAAGTATGATAATCACCTGTAAAGCAGTTCATTAGTCAGAGTAGTTTTGCTTTCTTCAACTCTCTCAAATGTGCGAAATGGAAATTTAATAATTGGAGCACGCATGTCCCGTGGATCAAATACAAGAGACTTCGAACACACCTGATAAAAAAAAATTTAGTTCAGATTTAGTGAGATTCAGAGTTTAGGTTTAAAATGAGTTTCTAAAGTGCAGTAAACCTACAGATTAGTTTAGCATATCTAATTCTAAAGGACTTAAAATTTTAGAAAATTGTCATTTTATTTCAATAGGTGCAGACCTCACATAAACAACATTAAGCCGATAGCATTTTCAAAAACAAACTCAAAAGTAAAATTTTATTTTTATTAACCACAAGGTTTAGCAACAATTACTAATTAGCAAATTCTCCATTTGTCAAGCAGATTGATGCACAAGTATCAACTAATAGAAACCAATTTCAGTTCAAATTTCTCTTATTATTATTATTTTTTAAGTTGTACTGTATATTGAATTATTTAAATCAAAGAAATGCTTCAGTTTACCTTCAAACGTCCTCTCAGCAGCCTATTCTCAAATTTTTCTGCCCACCCATCATTATTATTAGCACTCTCTTCGGGAAGAATGTAGATGGCTGCAAAATCTTCAAAGTAAATCTCTCCAGGCTCAAGCAGAAGTAATGAAAATCTGGTAAGCACAAAATTTTATCAACAAGAGAAAACCAAATCAAGGGAAATAGTATTAATTGGTACTTAAAAATGGTAGATTATTTTAGGCATGGTTAATGTTAACATAAAAGATAAGGTGAAAATCAGTAGGAGCCATGAGGAATCAAACCCCCCCACTTTCTACCCCCAAGCCCCCATCCTAAACCACTACACAACGGGGTAAAATCAATGCAACATGGGACTCGACCAAATCCTTCAGGGGTCCCGAGGTGTTACATAAGGTCAATCTGATTTCATTGTGCATAAAACCAGAGTTGAATATAGTGCAGAATATAATGAAACGCCATTTCATGGGCGAGACCCATAGACTCCCCGGAGCTATACCGGACTGATGTGTTAACATTAGACCATGGCAACAGTCAATCGATGGAGTTCTAGCCTACCAGGGACCATGAGCCAGAACCTGGCCCCCCCTCAGAAAGGAATGAGGAACAATGGCCTATAGACACACCAATGTAGTTATCTTTTTGAGGTTATCTTGAGATGATTTTGGGGCTTAGTGTCCCCACGGCCCGGTCCTCGACCAGGCCCTTCACCCCCAGGAAGCAGCCTGTAGCAGCTGTCTAACTCCCAGGTACCTATTTACTGGTAGGTAACAGGAGCCTCAGGGTGAAAGAAACATTTTGCCCATTTGTCTCCGCCTCCACTGGGGATTGAACCCGGAACCTCAGGACTACGAATCCGAAGTGCTGTCCACTCAGATGTCAGGCGCCCAAGTTGGAAGCAGTCTATGTCTGTCATCTACCAGGTCAGTCACCCAGAAAGGTAGGACTCCCAAAATAAACTAGAGCTGGTAAAAATTGCAAACCGAAAGGCTAGACGAGCAAGCAGAACTCCCCAATCAGAAAACAAGCATGATGTCACCACAGCCGCCGTGCAGCTGTCTGCGCAGCTCCCCCTTCCAGGGGGAGGGAGGGGGAGGGAGGGGTAGGGGGATCGAATAATCCTGTGGAGATCCACTCCCTGGAACAGGGAAGAAGGGAAACTGGGTCAACCCAAAGTGCGTCCCCTGCCACGGAGGCCGTGGCACGCAAGTAACAGCGAAGAGCCGCAACTGGACACAAAACATGATGCATCCCCGGCTGAACCAACCAAGCATCAACAACCAAAGGACCCCTCCAGAAAGAAGCAGTCTCATTCTTTGCCAGAAAAGAAGGAGACGGCTGCAAACGAACAAACCAACCACCAGGACTGAAAGAGCAGAAACTGCTGCGCTGGAGAGCTCCCCAACCTGACCCCCAGAGACCAACGCCAACAAGAAAAGAGCCTTAGAAAAACAGTCCTGAACTGAAGGGGCCACTACAAACTGAGGGAGAGAGAGAAAAAGAGAGCACCCGGTCTAATGACCAGGACAGCTCAGGTGGCGCATGAGCAGGCCGGAGGTGAAACAACACCCGAGACAACTTGTAGAATGGAGCAGAAGTGACATCCACCCAGAAGGCTAAAGCGGCTCTGCCAGCACCGCATGATATGAGGCGACAGGATTTAGCCCTGAAACAACCAAGAGAGAAAGGACAAACAAACCCAAACAGAAATCGATGACAACCAACGAAGAGATAAAACGTACCAAAAGGACCGCCAAGAATCTTCACACTGCCGCCGAGACAAAACCCCTCAAGTGGAACACCATCAACGAAGCCACCTGATCACCATACAAGTGGTGATAAACCCACGTCAAAACGACCAGACACGAAGATGATCAGAGAAGATCGAACCAGCCACATACTGGACCAGACCGATCTGCTGAAAGAGGCAGATTGGTCTGGTCCAGCATACACCATACTCCAGCACCCCCCAGCATACACCATACTCCAGCACCCCCCAGCATACACCACCCTCCCGCACCCCCCAGCATACACCATACTCCAGCACCCCCAGCATACACCATACTCCAGCACCCCCCAGCATACACCATACTCCAGCACCCCCCAGCATACACCATACTCCAGCACCCCCCAGCATACACCATACTCCAGCACCCCCCAGCATACACCATACTCCAGCACCCCCCAGCATACACCATACTCCAGCACCCCCCAGCATACACCATACTCCAGCACCCCCCAGCATACACCATACTCCAGCACCCCCCAGCATACACCATACTCCAGCACCCCCAGCATACACCATACTCCAGCACTCCCAGCATACACCATACTCCAGCACCCCCCAACATACGCCATACTCCAGCACTCCCCAACATACACCATACTCCAGCACCCCCAGCATACACCATACTCCAGCACCCCCAGCATACACCATACTCCAGCACCCCCCAACATACACCATACTCCAGCACCCCCCAACATACACCATACTCCAGCACCCCCAGCATACACCATACTCCAGCACTCCCAGCATACACCATACTCCAGCACCCCCCAACATACACCATACTCCAGCACCCCCCAACATACACCATACTCCAGCACCCCCCAACATACACCATACTCCAGCACCCCCCAACATACACCATACTCCAGCACCCCCCAACATACACCATACTCCAGCACCCCCCAACATACACCATACTCCAGCACCCCCCAACATACACCATACTCCAGCACCCCCCAGCATACACCATACTCCAGCACCCCCAACATACACCATACTCCAGCACCCCCCAGCATACACCATACTCCAGCACCCCCCAACATGCACCATACTCCAGCACCCCCCAGCATACACCATACTCCAGCACCCCCCAGCATACACCATACTCCAGCACCCCCCAACATACACCATACTCCAGCACCCCCAGCATACACCATACTCCAGGAGCTCCACCATAAAAGTCTCCCTCCCTCTCACCAACATACACTGCCACATTGGTCGACACTCACCGGTCGACGCCGTCCATGGTGAGGCGAGCACACTCAGCACGCTACCATCGCCGGGGCCACACTCGCCCACTAGGCCTACAGCCTCTACAATAGGGCAAGATGTACGCCAGTCGTGTGAGCCAACAGCGCCTCCAACAGCTGATTGTCAACGCGTCCCGACCCGTCCTCACCTTACTTCACACTCGACTTCGCCCCAGTGTTTGTTCATGGACGAGCAATTGGAGTTTGTTTATACACTTTGAGTTTAATATATTGTACCATATTTTTGTACGTTGAGACACCTCGTTTAATTGTCGCTATGTCTAGTTCCAGCTACAGTGCATGTGTGGCTGTGGTAAGCGCCTTGGGCGTGAAGGAACGGTTGCGGACAATGGTGCTTGTTGGGGAGTGTTGTTTTGCTGTGGTGTTGGGGGGGGTGGGGGTGGTACCTGGGCCCAGCTGTACTCACCTAGTTGTGCTTGCAAGGGTTGACCTCTGGCTCTTTGGTCCCGCCTCTCAACCGTCAATCAACTGGTGTACAGATTCCTGAGCCTACTGGGCTCTATCAGACCTATATTTGAAACTGTGTATGGAGCCTACATGTACAACTTTCCCGTAACTCAATTGTGCAGAGTGAAATTAAACCTTAAAGCCTTACAATGTTTTGAAATTTAGTGAAGATGAGTTAGGGTAATTTTAATTAAGAGATGCAGTTCAATAAGTTAAGCATAACAAATATTAATATTACGTGAAGAATACGTGCATCCAGGCTCACTCATTACACAAACTCTTAGCTTAGCTTAAACGCTTTGCGTAATAGTGGCTTTAGGCATTGTATGTACTAGCTCTATCTATTAATCCAACAAACTTTGTAAAATCTCTTTATGTATGTACCTTACCTAAATAAACATTTATTTATTTATTTATTTATTTATTTATTTATTTTATTTATTAATCATTCCAAGATTTAAATTTGGTTTCATTCATGGGAGTTAGTTTAGTTTAGTTCATTTATTATGCACCCCATACCCATCCTGTGGGCGGTAGTGGAAAGGGTTACAGACACATAATTGGCTCAGGGACTGAACCCCACAATTCATCTAGCTAAGCAAGTTACAATCTTGATGAGCTAGTTACAAAATTCAATATAAGTCGTCACACCATCAATGGGTTCGTGATCGACCACAAGTACAATTTCTTAATTAAGCAACTGACATATGAGAGCTATAGTGTCACAAATGATATGTTCGTCCTGCACCCCCCCCCCCCCCCCCCCATCCAGTGGACATGGAAAGGATACTATAACACCATCTAATAGAGATTTAAAATGCAATAGAGTCCAAATATTTATAAATAAAATGTGTTGTAGGAAGACTGGTGAGTATGTCCAGAGCGCGGGGGTGTAGCTCAGTGGTAGAGCATTCGACTGCAGATCGAGAGGTCCCTGGTTCAATCCCGGGCGCCCCCTCACCTTATGTCTGCCGTAACACACATACCATTTTTCTTTTATTGTTATTTTTATATATTTTCCGTAGTTTACAGGTGAAGTATTATAAATATACGTATTATGTTTAGAGGTTAAATGAGAACTAAAACTAACAAAATCTGCAAAAAATAAAATGACAAATTCGAAAAATGCGATGGCCGGGAATCGAACCCGGGTCAACTGCTTGGAAGGCAGCTATGCTCACCACTATACCACCATCGCCTGTACGCAGTTGCCTTTCTTTTTATATTTATCTAATATAGTCATTTATAAATTATTTACTTGAATTTTCCAGAGCCATTAATACTAGCGGCTTCGATGAAGACAAAGTCGGCGGTTTTCAAAGGTCCCCCCTCCATTGGCCTTGATAATCTTTTCCAGTTGGACTTTAAAATTTAACATAATTTTGGCATTTACGGCTTGGTGTAGTGGTACAGTATGCAGGTGCTGGGTGCAGTGGTACAATATGCAGGTGCTGGGTGCAGTGGTACAATATGCAGGTGCTGGTGCAGTGGTACAATATGCAGGTGCTGGTGTAGTGGTACAGTATGCAGGTGCTGGGTGCAGTGGTACAATATGCAGGTGCTGGTGCAGTGGTACAATATGCAGGTGCTGGTGCAGTGGTACAATATGCAGGTGCTGGGTGCAGTGGTACAATATGCAGGTGCTGGGTGCAGTGGTACAATATGCAGGTGCTGGGTGCAGTGGTACAGTATGCAGGTGCTGGGTGCAGTGGTACAATATGCAGATGCTGGTGCAGTGGTACAATATGCAGGTGCTGGTGTAGTGGTACAGTATGCAGGTGCTGGGTGCAGTGGTACAATATGCAGGTGCTGGGTGCAGTGGTACAGTATGCAGGTGCTGGGTGCAGTTGTACAATATGCAGATGCTGGTGCAGTGGTACAATATGCAGGTGCTGGTGTAGTGGTACAGTATGCAGGTGCTGGGTGCAGTGGTACAGTATGCAGGTGCTGGGTGCAGTGGTACAGTATGCAGGTGCTGGGTGCAGTGGTACAATATGCAGATGCTGGTGCAGTGGTACAATATGCAGGTGCTGGTGCAGTGGTACAATATGCAGGTGCTGGGTGCAGTGGTACAATATGCAGGTGCTGGTGCAGTGGTACAATATGCAGGTGCTGGGTGCAGTGGTACAATATGCAGGTGCTGGTGCAGTGGTACAGTATGCAGGTGCTGGGTGCAGTGGTACAATATGCAGGTGCTGGTGCAGTGGTACAATATGCAGGTGCTGGTGCAGTGGTACAGTATGCAGGTGCTGGGTGCAGTGGTACAATATGCAGGTGCTGGGTGCAGTGGTACAATATGCAGGTGCTGGGTGCAGTGGTAAAATATGCAGGTGCTGGCGCAGTGGTACAATATGCAGGTGCTGGGTGCAGTGTTACAATATGCAGGTGCTGGGTGCAGTGGTACAATATGCAGGTGCTGGGTGCAGTGGTAAAATATGCAGGTGCTGGCGCAGTGGTACAATATGCAGGTGCTGGGTGCAGTGGTACAGTATGCAGGTGCTGGGTGCAGTGGTACAATATGCAGGTGCTGGGTGCAGTGGTACAATATGCAGGTGCTGGGTGCAGTGGTAAAATATGCAGGTGCTGGCGCAGTGGTACAATATGCAGGTGCTGGGTGCAGTGTTACAATATGCAGGTGCTGGGTGCATTGGTACAATATGCAGGTGCTGGGTGCAGTGGTACAATATGCAGGTGCTGGCGCAGTGGTACAATATGCAGGTGCTGGGTGCAGTGTTACAATATGCAGGTGCTGGTGTTGTGGTACAATATGCAGGTGCTGGGTGCAGTGGTACAATATGCAGGTGCTGGTGTGTATTAGTACCATACACAGGTGCTGGTGTTGTGGTACAATATGCAGGTGCTGGTGTGTATTAGTACCATACACAGGTGATGGTGTTGTGGTACAATATGCAGGTGCTGGTGTGTATTAGTACCATACACAGGTGATGGTGTTGTGGTACAATATGCAGGGCTAGTTTAGTGATACAACATACTTGTACTAGTGTAGTGGTACAATGTACAGTTTAGGGATACAACATACTTGTACTAGTGTAGTGGTACAATATACAGGTGTTAGTTTAGTGGTACAATATGCAGGTGCTAGTGTAGTGGTACAATATGCTTGTGCTAGTGTAGCGGTACAATATACAGGTGCTAGTGTAGTGGTACAATATGCTTGTGCTAGTGTAGTGGTACAATTTACAGGTGCTAGTTTAGTAGTACAACATGTACTAGTGTAGTGGTACAATATACAGGTGCTAGTTTAGTAGTACAGCATGTGCTAGTGTAGTGGTACAATATACAGGTGCTAGTTTAGTAGTACAACATGTGCTAGTGTAGTGGTACAATATCCCTCCCTGTGTTATTGACTGTTCCAGCAACCGCATAATAAGCAGTTGGAGAGGTGTGATGAAGCGGCAACATTACTCATGAATATGACCCACACTGTCAGTGTACAGAGCTACGAGGGAGTCAAAAGAAGTCGTAACTTGCCTCCCTTGATCGTAAGTTATGTGCTCCGGGCAGATGTGCGTTACTGACCATGTCTTCCAATTTGGTGTTCTTGATTCATATATTTACGAAGGTTATAACTTAGGAAGTTGTTGGGTTGTAAGTTGGAGGGTGTGTAACCCGCTGGTTAAATGATGTTATGGCAGAGAACATTCACAGCTCGCTACGTTCTCTAGGTGTTTAAATCTTTAATTTCATTAATGATTTACGACATTCAACGAAATAGTTAAAAATGTTTTATATAAACGCTTTAATAGAAGAGAATATAGAATAAATGAAATATAGAATAAATGAATAATTATTAACAAAACAAGAAGAGACAAAATAATAAAACAAACACAAAATTCAGGCAAAGAAAGGTACAACTTGATGAATAGCCTAGCGAGCGTAGCCTGGTTGTGACGGGAACAAGTGCTGGATTAATTGTTCCATCCTTCACACACTCACTCACTCACACCTGTGTCGCTTATACCTCCCGTCTGCGCTGACACACGCACGATCATTACTATATTAATATGTTTTGCTGTTATTTAATAATACAACATAATATATTCATTCGTGATAAACGATTACACATATGATATCAATGCGAACATGCCTGAATGGTCCCCAGGACTATATGCAACTGAAAACTCTGAGTTTTCTCAGAAAGGAGAGGAATATCTGAGTTTTCAGATATCATATCAACAATATACACACACAAGATTCATAGAGACTTAAAGAACAAACGACAACTCAGAGAGCCATCAGATTGCCTGTGTTACATGGAAATTTTGTTCATAGTTGCGGCATGAATGTAAAACAAGAAGAAGAAGAAGCTAAATCTTACGTAATGGGGTTCGGAATTCTTAACAGTTGTGAGGCGGGAACAGCGTGGTTGCTCTGAACAAGACTGTACAGCCGTTGGGCCAACTATTGTAAGAGGTTTGTTGGTCAACGTGACGTGTGTGTGGGCGCCACCCATCACGGCGGAGCCTCCTCCCTCTCAACTTGGCTGTCACTACATAGGTAATAATACATTAGGAGTCTTAGCGAAATTTTTAGAAATTAAGACATCAAATTAATGATTAACTCGATATACACATTAGTATTAATTTCAGTCTCCGCTCCTTTATTTAATAAAAAACATAATAAACATAAAGCAAAAAATAAGTAAACATAAATAAAACATGAAAAATAAATAAACATAAGTACGGTTCCTCAATCGTCTCACT